AAACATGATTCTAATAACTTATGTTACCCTGAACCTGAGGGAATGAGAGGAGACAGTTCCTTGAAACGACCGCACAACTTGTAAATCTAGAGGTTTTTGGGGGTTTCCCAGAAACCCAGAGAGAAAGAACGGGTTAAGGTCGTCAAAAGGTTGTTCTTAGAAACTGAAGAGACTTAGAAATAGGGCGCAATTAGCAGGGGCGAGTACTAGATATTGCAACCTCTCCTCTCCCCGCCCCATTACAGGCCCATAATAATTTCACTTTTTTTAGTAAGAACATGCGTGAAACGTGCAAATATTGAAAAATAAAATATTACGGTTTCAAACTTTTGTTGTTAATTTCAATGTATATTTTTATGACGATTTTATGTCGATCAGTCGTCTTCTTATTCTTCAGTTTTATGGAATTTACTGTTCTTTGTTCATATAAGAAAATTAACCATTTTCATTACATATGTTGATGTTTTTTTTTACATGAGAATGAAATGTTTTTTTTTTAGATTTTCTAATCTGATTAGATAAATGTGTTAAACCTAATGTAAATAAACAAACCCTGATATCCCAGACTTTGTTTATCTTTAACCTATATCAAATTGAATATCCTTGTTTACGTAAATCTGGGGTTTTCTAAGTTTTGTTGAATTCATGCTCACTAGGCACTGAGATCATTTGAAGTACCGTACCGACTTATTGGGAGATAGTCAAAGAGAAGAGAATATATATTAGAGGGGAATTTACAGGAAAAAAGTGTAAAACGGCCATTTTGTAGTTGCGTATACTCTGTGTACATATTGAAACCAGTTCTCTCTGGGTGGAATTTGTAAACAAGAATAGATGCCTCAGTGTTCGTTTAGTATCCGAGGAGGTTAAGCGCATTGAATTTTGTTAACTCACATAATAGTTTCCTATGTCCAGAATATTTCATTGATTATTTATGTGAAAGATGAATCCCATGTCAGGCTTCGACAGCTGTCTTGTGTTTACATTACTGCCCAGTGACAGTACACTGCAGTACAAAAGATGCGTACACCTCTGAAATAACTTTCCTTGCATTAAATCCTTGGTATAGTACAGTATACATATGAAGGAGAATAAGCGGGATCGAACACCAAATTTAAATTTATTATTCGTTTTTTCATTAACTTTAAAGATATATATAAGATATACGGTGGTAGGCGATTTTACCCATATAATGAAGACGACTTTTTTATTCAGTTCTGATTTTAAACAAGCTTTTTCGAATTACCATAGATAATTATAGATTGCGCATAAGACGATATTTTTCTTCTTGAAAGATATAAATGTACAGAGATGTTATAATGATATTCCTATTATATAGATTAACTAGGTCGGTTGTGAACATTGGCTGTCATTGAGTACTTGTGGTGTACATGAGTTCTGTAGAGAGAAATTTAAGTTAGCTTAGTCCTTCTCATGTCCTTCTTCAGTTCTCGTCAATATGATATATTGTTCAGTGAAATATTGTTGTTCAAATAGTTCCATTCCTGGAGTTATTTTACACTCTATTTATGAAATCCATTAAAACACCAAACCACCCCACTTATCAATCATTGAAGTACACTTTGACCCCTAGAAGTACGAGTTCGCGGACTGTACAATTCTTGGTGATTTTGCTTACATAAGCTATCTATGTTTATTTATTTATCTATGGAAAAACAAGCTTACGAGTAATTAAAGAGAAGCTTTTTTCTTAAATATGTATTCATGTTTGACGATAGATATCAAGTCCAGAAAGAGAAAGAAAAAATTTAAATTTTTTTAATAAATAAATCATATATTTTAGAATATACAGATCAAACCATTATAATATATAGTCTAGTATATAAATAGAAAATTATTAAATGTAGATAATGTGATTAAAATTTGTGGGTTGCTGAATTAACATTTCCACATTTACATTTGTAAAATCAATTAAAATTAGAATCTTCATTCACATTTCACGGATTTACAACATTTGTCGTCTTCATTGCAACCTTCTTTGCCCTCATCACAGCAAGCTTCATTGTCATCCCCACATATTCCTTCATCATCGCAGCAATTCTTCTTGTCATTCTTACTTATCTTTTTGTCATCACAACATTTGCTCTTGACATCGCAGCACTTATTTTTATCATCAGAACATTGTTCCTTTTTGGAACAGCCCTCTGCCTTGTCATCGCAGCAGTTGTCTTTCTTTTCATCACAACATTCTTGGTTTTTGGTGCATTTTTTCTTTTTGTCATTGCAGCTTTTCGCCATTTTAAATTCAGCTGATTTCTGATCAGCTGATTTTGCGTGACAGTCCAGCTTTTCTTGTTCTCCAATACAGCAGGTGGCAAGATCATCACAACAATCTGGAGTTAAAATAAATTTCTATATTTAGAAATAAAAAAAACTAGACTTAAGAAAAGTAATATCAGTGAAAAACGTAAAGAACTCCCGTCGAATCTGCAATTCCTTTTATGAAAAAACAGCCAAATTAATCAAATGTAAGGATGAATCCTTTTTATGATCTCCTAACTAAAGTGCCCGGCGTTGCCTGTGTAATTTGAAAAAGTCTTAAGAATATTTTTTAGCCTTTGTTTCCCCCGGAGGAGGCCTGGGTACCGATGGGGTTTCTCAAAAAATTTCAGCCATTTTGGTCGTGCAGTTTGGCTATCTATAGCTAACATATGTATAATTATAATTATTATGTTGATAAAGGGTACCAACTGCAGATTCTAGAAAAAGTAAGTAGTTCATACAGACTATTAGTTTTTACATTTTTTAGAACTTGACCCAATCAAGTTATTTAGAATTTGAAAATTAAATAAAAATCAATATTATGCATGTCTTTGAAAAAAATTAAAACATGCCGATATGGGTTGCTTTTTAAATACACGTGTTTGATGTAATGGATAAGAAAAATATTCAACAATACAAGGGTAATCCACATGCAAAGATGAGACGACGATACAGAATTTATTCAGCCTTTTTTCTCAAATTTCTGGCACAAAACACTTGTTTCTGTCTTTGTGAGATCATAATGTACTTTTTAAAATTGTAATAAAACTTTACGTTCAAACCTTAGGTTTAGTGGTTATATATACAGGGTGTCCCACGAAACATGACATTTAATAAAAAGTTATATTTAGTTAAACAAATCTTTTGCTTAATTATATTTTACTTTGAAATCAATTTTAATATAACATGACTCCAATATAATATTTTTATTGATATTTGGTGTCAAACAACTGAACAAATAATAGAAAAAGACATTCTAAACTAATACTCAACTGTCATGTTTCTTGAAACACCGTGCATGTCGTGATTAACGTCTCATCCTATGTTGGTAACCCTGTCTATCATAGTTATTTAAAATCTCTAACCTGATACTTTACGAAGGGACATTTTAAAATGATACAAATTCTGATAGGTTTCCGGCTTTTATTCGAAATAGTTTTTGGCTTTTAATCTTCCGTAAAACGGATCAATGGTTTTATAATGTCTTACAAAACTGAAAAGCTATCAATAGTTTTTGCTTGCTGTAGTTACAATTATAATTGTTCTATTATTAGGAATAAGCTAAATTTCTGACCAGAATGATTTTCAAAACAATTGACAAGATCCAAATACTCTCTATATAAAGATGCGGTTATAGTAAAATCTAAAATTCTACGTACCTTGTTTGGTCTAATAAAGATTGATGACAAATGTCGTCTTCTATAATGAATAAAAGGCAAGTTTTGTTTGCTTGGAAGCTTCATTCCATTTAATGATTCTTACTTTTTAATCCGAATCCCAATAATTTTGTAATTAACCCTTCAATTGACGAGTGAATGAGTTAGATATGCATACATTTATGCAAAATTATTTCTTTGCTTTTAATTAAAAAAAGACGACATTAGCTCACTTGGATATTATTAGAGTCCTGTCCTGTCCCTTTCATTCAAATTTCATACAAATTCAGGTTTATTTCAACAAAATATTCTGTTATCCAACAAATGATTAAATAACTTCAGAAATACAATTTAATATTATTGATTCATGTTCAATTTTAGCATAAATATTTACTGTGAAGTGTTAAATACCTGCTGTTTTAATGTTGATTGTTCATGCAACCAAAATAACCAAAAACGTTAAAAACAACTATACAGAGCTTACACAATGCATCATCTTTATAAAGAGATTTTTGGCAAGATCTTATGTTAAATCGCTTTTTTTAATATCTTTGTTCAGAGAACCTTTTTTGTATATAATGTAAAAACGTCAAACTTCAAAAATCATATTATTTTTCAATATGAAAGATATCTTAAATGTTCAGAGCTGAAAACTTTAGAATGGTGGATATCGGGATTACTGCTTGATCCTCCCTTTTTGATAATCTCAAGATTAACATAATCTTGCAAGATTATCTTAAAAGTGTATGAAAAACGATAAAATTCAAATTAATATTTAATCATCTGAGAAACTGTAGCAGCCAATCAGAGAAAAGTGGGCAACCAATGAGAGAACAGAAATATTCTCATTGGAGAAAACAATTAACGGATATCCAAGGAGAGAGAAAAAGAGTGGATTAGGACAAAAATGAAAAGTTTCCACAGTGGATATTCGGATCAAGAAGTCAGGATTAAAGTTTATCCATTCTAAAGTTCCCAGCTCTGGCGTCATTTAAAGTAAAAAATCCTAAAATGTCTTAAAACTCAGCACAAAACAATGCCGGGTATGAAGGGTCGTTGTGAATTCGTCTACATGTCCTTTTTAACTGGGGGGCTGAACCTACAAGAGTCAGTTTAAAAGGATTTTAAATCATTTGGAATCAGTGATCTATTATAAGACGTACCATTGCAGACTTTTACAGAGCAATATTTCATAGAAAAGAAACGGTTCTGAGTAAACTGAGTAAAATTCAAGATACAAAACCTCCCCATACACTTGTACTCCGAAAGCGTTCTGCATATTTGATTATAGAAAAAAATGGTATGGACAATAAAAAAAACATTTTTACTGATAAATAATGTCATTTCCAAATTAGATTTCGTTATGAACTTAACATACTACATTGACGACAAGAAAATTTAACAATGAGTAATGACCATATTTTTTCAAAGTTTTGCAGAGCTAGTAGCTTTTCTAAAGATTTTAAAAAGTAACATCTTTTTCCTCTTAGAGTAAAACTATTTTTTTTATATTACTGCCTTTTTTGTCAATGTTTGCCAAAAAGTTTGGTTAAAATTAAATAAATTCAGTTTTTTTACAGATCTTTGTAGTTAATGTAAAATGAATGACTATAATGAAGGATATAAAAATAGAAAAAGTTCTTGAAATCACTTCAATACATTTAACATGTCGATGGGAACAACTGCTGTCATGGCTATGCATCTCTATGAACAAGGATGTTGCTTCAAAAATTCGCTTGGCTCATCTGTTATCCCCTATTGCCTATGTTGGGATCATGGAAAGTCCTATACTCTTGTGGGAGCATCGACTCCAACCGTTCTGCAATATGCTCAAGAAGTTAAATCCAATGGATTTCACGAATATGATTGGGGTGAACGTGAACAGCACCTTTTCCATCATGGCCCTAATAGAAAACCTACCTACAGGTTACAAGATGTGACTACTCCTGTTGATATTTACTACAATGGTCAGAATGATTGGTTAACTTCTTCAACTGATGTTTTGAGAACCATTTCAGAGCTGCCAAGTATCGTCCCTGGAATGTTGCATTAGATTGAGTTCCCAACCTGGAACCATTTGGATTTCCTTTGGGGGATATATGGCATACGCTGATATGGAGGTGTATTCTGATTGCTGGCTTATATGAAAACATTTTGGAATACAGATTGTAGGGTTTAATATCTTTTTTCCTACTTTCAATATGAAGATCTAAAAATGTCAGATTTTTAAATACAATTCTTTATTCCTGATTCTCAAATTTAAAAATTTCATATATGTATATGACAATGATAACTTATAGATTGGAATAATGGAGTTTTAAAAAATCAGGAACACTTTTTAATTCTGCGTTTTTTCTAATTTATTATATCAAATACGGTAAATAATAAACAAATGAATAATTTGTTGATAGCAATTATATCAAAGTCCAAAGGAGCTGCTTGCACTCGATCTTAACAAATCGGAGGAGCTGCTTGAAGTGGAGCTTTTAGGTGAGGAGCTCCTTGAATTAGATCTGTTAGACCCGTAGCTGCTGCTTCTAGATTTCAGCATCTGTTTAGCCACAGCTCGCGAATTCTCATCTACCTGAAAAGTAACTGTAAAAGAAACTGAGTTCGAATTTAAAGAATTTGAGCCGTGTCTCAAATTTGTGACGCGGCTCAAACACGGTGGGTTCCACTTAAAATTGTATTCCGTGTTAAGTGATTGAAGGCGGTGCTCAATGCATGCAATTCTTTAAATTATTAATTCCTTTACATAATTCAAATAATAAACAATTTTATTTAATTTATTGTTTGGTTTTTGCAGTTTCCCCAATATTGAATTTTGCTTGCAAATAACAATAATAAACATTTGCAGATCTTAAATTGCACATTGGGAAATTCTTAACATTCAATCCCCAGGGCCGGAAACATAAGACAGTGTATCGTAATGAAAGTCAATATCTGAAATCCAGTTTCACATTTATGGGGTTAGGAAGTTTTATAGATACCAATATTTTTGTTTAGAAATATTATTTCATGTGGTTTCTTTACTTTCTCTCTATGTTTTCTGATTTCTTAGATTAAAATCTACAAAATTGTATTAACACAAAATCTTTTGAAGTGTACTCCCTTTACTAGAATTTTCAGGTTTTAAATGTTGCTCTTGAATCAGCCATTTTTTCTTTTACTTTTGAAAATTCTTCGGGTTATGGTAATGTAAAATACTATAGCAAACTAAGGCCCCATCAGTTTTAACGTTCATTGAACTTTAAAAAGCCAAGTATTGATGATTCATGATAAAATAAAAGCATTTGTGTGACCCTCCAGTCTTCAACTTGGCTTAGTATGAAACTTTTATGACAAAGAAACAAAAGTTTTCTTTTTCTTGATATTTTTCCCAAACTAATTATAGGATATTAACTCTATACAAGGAGAAGACAAATCGACAAACTTTAGTCAATAAACTTTTCAGTAATCAAACAAATTAAAATGACAAAATTTGGAATCATACAGGGTTACCCACAAAGGACGAGACTTTAACGACGACCTAAAGCTTTTTAGATAGAACGTGTTAAAGGTAGGTTTAAGGATTTCCTTCTTATGAATATTTTTTAATGGAATCTGTATAGATTTAAGGAAAAAAGAATTAGGTTAGGTTAGAGAACCATGAATTGTATTTTTAAAGACTTTAAAAATTCCGTATAGTCGTCTCTCTGAAGTCTCATAATTGTAGGGTTACTCCTCAGTAGTAAAGAAAGGTCAAAATTTGTCAAAAAAGGAATTACATTTTCCAGAATTCCAAAATTAGTAGGCGATATTGCACATTTTTTTGCCCTTTTTAATTGACTTTTTCCGTGAGCAAAACCATCTAGTTCGTTGTTAAGTTATTTACTTTAATCATTTTCTTTAGAGATGTAAAAATAAAATCATTAAAAATTCAAATGATTAAAAATTGAAACCACTTTTTTTCGGAATCTGGTTCCTTTTGTCGTCGGCTTTTGACTTAAAACTTTAAATTGTAACTAGAAATGGGCCTGGGTACGAATTATGTTTGTTTGAGTAATTTGAAGGAATAAATTGATGCAGGAATTATAACCGTGCATTAAAGGGAGTGACCGGCTATGTAAGGTAGTTGAGCTGAGTTTAAGCGCAAATTCGACGTTCAAAACAAATCAAAAAAATCTTTGAGGATGGATGGATACGTTTTCAGAATTAGTTTCTTTTTAATTATTAAATAAATCCATTTAATTCGGGCAGTAGGTGTAAACCCCCTTTCTGCAGTGCATATGAAAATTTATATACTTTGCTTGTCTGGGTGTCTGTTTGTTTGTTTGTATCCAAAAAACGTCAAAATGGCTGAGCTGATCGGGTCCAAATTTTGTGTGTTATTGTTATATGATGTATACAAAGAGAAAATGTTCCGAATTGAAAAAGAAGATGGGTGCGAGGCGCCCTGAAAGCCTACTAGTAGTATGCATATAATACAATTACAAATTTTAATATCCTCAGAAGAATAGGATTAAAGGGGTTTTCGTTTGTAGAGATCCCTGTCCAATTCAAACCTTTCTCTGATCTGTAATATTGAAGATAATTTCGTGTTTTCGACTCGAAAAGTGTTTATTTCTGTGAATTTCTTAATATAAGCAAAAATGCGCAAGTCACTTTTGCAAAGAAACCACAAATGAAAATTAACAGTTTAAAAAACAAAATCATGGATATCTTCTTCATCCTTGATGAAATAAAGCTTTTAAGGGCACCGTTGTAAATCGGGCATCGCGATTACGCTTACAGTCCCTTTATGGTTCTGAGTAGGATAATGATAATTTGATAAACCGCCCATTTAAAAAATTAATTTACCACTTTTCCATCCAATTCTTTTACAGAGGGTAGACCAGCCATTAATAGAACTTTATACTTTGTCTCATTTGTCATCTAAATATATTAGCATATATCATTTAATAATAAAAAATCCTAAAAATTATAATGATAGTAACACTAGTAAAACATAATAATGATAATAAAAAGAATAATAATAATAATAATAATAATAATAATAATAATAATAATAATAATAATATTAATGAATAATAGAACATACGTCGTATATAAAAATACGTGATATAATTTTGATAGTATTAAACTAGATCTGAAAAAAAATTTAACATTTCATAGTGGGAGAACTGGTGCATTTGGCGTTTTGTTTTACTTGGCGTTTTGTGTTGTGGCGTTTTGTGTTGTGGCGTTTTGTTTTTTTGTCCAACGGATCAAGCTAATGCCTTTTATTTAGATCAATCAGTTTCTACCAGTCATTAGCAAATCAACGCTATATGCGATTAACAAAAATAATTATCATTAACCAAACCTAATAGTTAAGCCTAAGGAAAAACAGGAAGCATGGACCAGCCCGAGTAAAATAAGTTTTTAAGACAACGGCGCAACACAAAACGTTAGGGTACATAACTTTTAATCGATCTTGAGCAAAACTAAATAATAGAAAGACCTTGATAATTAACTGGAAATAGATTTATTATTATATCGTTTTATTTGAATGTGTGAACTTGTATCCACACTCTACCCTTTCTTCGGCTCACACCTCTCAACCAAAAATAATTATTAAAGTTAAAATTTTCGATCAATTAGTAATTTAGAAGTCATAAAAACTCTGGTGTAATGCAATTAGAGAATTGAAAAATAGAATGTATACTTTTAATTTTCAAGAATATTTACTCCCTCAAAATTAAAAAAAATTGTTTTGGAAATAAAATTTAGGCATCAAAAGGATTTTTGTTTTTGTTTTTAAGAATTGTGAATGGTAAAATTCTCATTGTTTTTTTACATGAGAACTAGCATCCTTTGGTTCTCTTAAAAATGAGAAAAACAAACTTATCCGGTTCCATCATACTACAAATTAAAAAACATTTTTCTTCTTAGGGAATGAAAACTTGTAAGATTTTAATATTACGTCACTCATGTGTTTTAGTGGGTATTATGTCACTCAAGTTTGTTTAGCGGGTATTATGTCACTCAAGTTTGTTTAGTATCAAAATGTGAAAATTCGGTCAAAATTCACTAATTTTAGTATCCAGTGCTATCAATTCTTGGAAATATTTAGTTTTGATACCCAGCCATTTCGATATATTTTGACGAAACAAAATCTAAAAGGGTGGATTTTCAACTTTTTTGTTTTGATCACAGCGGAATTGATTTTTTGTCACAAACTGAAATTTTCCAATTCCCATGTTTGCAACCTGAAAGTGAAACTTGAAATATTTGATTTGACAAAATTTATAGTTTGAAATTTTTAAGGTCTATGACATCCTGTTGCGGAAATATAAGGATTATATAAAATATAAAATGAATGTCTTTCAAAACAAATCAACTATTATAACTGTTATATAAAATTTTTATTTATTAAAACTAAGTGGCAAAGTACTCAAAACAGGAGACTCTGAAGAAGAATTAGAAATTACACCAAATAACATATCTTACTTGATAACAGATTGAATGCATTGTAGATTATTGCCAAAACAAACCAAGGTTTCCAGACTTTTTAGTCCCTCGATACCTAAATGTGCAACAAATAAATTGTAAACAATAAAATAAAATTGCAAACAATAAAATGAAATTGCAAACAATAAAATGAAATTGCAAATAATAAATGAAATCGTAAACAATAGAATGAAATTGAAAACAATAAAATGAAATTGCAAACAATAAAATGAAATTGCAAACAATAAAATAAAATTGCAAACAATAAAATGAAATTACAAACAATAAAATGAAATTGTAAACAATAAAATGAAATTGTAAACAATAAAATGAAATTGCAGACAACATTTTTTTGAGAAAGCGCATGCTATGAGCGGAACTATTTTCGTAATTTTTGGAGGGATATTATTTTCTTGGGAGAAGTGAACAATCCCTTTAATGTTTAATAACAGTGAAATGAATAAATGAAAAATAAAACAAGGTTCTCGAGGTTTTTACTGTTATTGAGTTGCATTTGATAGTTGAAAGTTGAAACTAATTTTTAAAGTTTCATGTCATTAAACCAGCACGATAAAAACAAACAAATTTAGGTTTATTTATTTAACCAATTTAAAATAATTTATTGTAGGTTTTGTAAAAATAGTTCCATGTACACCCCTTTCTTAGCCTATTGTGCATAAATAAGCAAGTCAGATTTTATAGAGAACCCACATTTTTTAATTATCTATTTTCAGATACAGCGGTCAGCATATATATCAATACAATGTTGGTTACTATAGGCAAATGATATGATACAATTTCAGTTTCTAATAATTCATTGGTATACATAGTGATTAGTACTGAAATGTAACATCTCAGTATCGGGTATCCGTATTCAAATATTTGTCAGCCTCTGTATTATATCACCATGATATGCTGACCACTGTAGATAAAACTGTTTTATCTTTTTCCTTGTTTATTTTCATTCTGAGGGTACTATCAAAAATCGGACAACCCCCGAAGGAATTTACGTCCTAAGTTCAAATTTTTCCCGCGAATAAATAGCTAGTTATTTTTTTTCTATTTTACTCACCTGATAAAGTTGAGAGTCTTGTGTTCGATATATTTAAATACTTTAAACATTTAGAGAGTTCTTCACAACAACTAAACAGTAAACAGTAAACAGTAAACAGTAAACAGTAAACAGTAAACAGTAAACAGTAAACAGTAAACAGTAAACAGTAAACAGTAAACAGTAAACAGTAAACAGTAAACAGTAAACAGTAAACAATAAACAGTAACCAGTAACCAGTAAACTAACCTAGGATTTATAATAAACTGTTCGCCTGCAGGTAAACGCTGTGACCCTAGATGCAATTCCTACAAAACAAACCAAGTAAATAAAAATGAATTAAAGTGACTGTTTACGTAATTTCAAGTGACTTTTTAGTAAAAAATTAAAATTTCTTATTTAAAAAGGTAAAACCTTTATCAGAGTGACAATGAGGACATTTTTGTCGTTTTTCCTCACACATGAACAAAAATTAATTCTGTCAACTTTCGTCCTTCTCTGAGGTCTAATATCTAAAACTTACTTAATACAGAGAACCCGCAGTTTACATTATCAATTTTTAGAAATAAAAATAAGGAAATCTTTATATTATTTGACTGAATGCCGCGTTAAATGTAAGTAGGTCTGGAACTTTTTAAATTGAAGGTAAATTGAAGGTACGTTGACATTTCCTAAATTTGAAATTATTTGAAATCTTTATGACCCCAGAGATACGAAACTCCAAAAACCTAATGTTTTTTCATCTTTGAATCCATATACTTTAGGCTCAGGTGCACTTAATTATTCGTAAGCAATTCATTTTTAAATTACACAAATAAGAACAAGTTCTGAACGTTTTGTTATTTTGAAGTTAATTTGAAAAATTGATTCCGGGAATCAGATGAATTATGATTATAGAAAATAAAGCAAACATGAAACTGTAAAATAAAAGTTGTAATATTAGATTTGAAGGATTTCTTCCCTCAACTTCACTGAAAATATAAATCTTCTTAAAGGGACTGTAAACATATTTGAAAATAAACATTATACTTTAATATAAGCCTATTTTTCCACTAAATATGTTTATGTGAGCCAGAAATAAATGAATAAGCATAAATTAATTAATTAATATAAATGAATGTGTGTAACATTTTTGAATGGATCGAATTTTATTCCGTTTTCTCGGGGTGTACACGCGAAAGTGAGACTTCTTCGTCATTATTAAATTAAGGTTATCTTAGAAACCACATATTAAAGCCAGAATGTAATAAATATCGCGTAGTTGTAATGAATATATTGTGTAAACATAATATCTGTAAACCTGAACTGCTGTAAATAGCTGTACTAATCGTGCTAATCACAGTATACTGTGATTAGCTTATATCCGCGCTAATATTAAATATGTACACCAAAACTTAAACTATGCTGTAAACATGTATTGTGATAGCTTAACTACGTTATATCTATCCGCGCTAATCTTGTAAATACATAAATTAAACTTAAACTAAGCTGTATATATGTATGAACGAAAAACTTGTAATTACTTCGAATAACGTTAATTTGTAACATTGATATCTAAATACAAATTAGTTAGTATAAACTCCGCTTTGATTACTATGATAGAGTACTTTGGTTCTGTTGAAAAATACAATCTAAGATCGTGCCCATTGATTTGGCATTGATAGATTAAGAGCTTGTGTCCCTGTTGACATTGATAGCTGAGAAGATCCTGTCCATTGGTTTGGCATTGATCGATTAAGAGCTTGTGTCCGTTTTGACATTTATATCCGGGCTTGTGCCCGTTTTGACAATGATAGCTGCGAAGATCGTGCCCATTGGTTTGACATTGATTGCATGAAGAGCTTGTGCCCGTGTTGACAGTGATAGCAGAGAAGATTGTGCCCATTGGTTTGACATCGATTGTCTGAAGAGCTTGTGCCCGTGTTGACATTGCCTAAGAGCATGTGTCCGTGTTGACATTGATAGCTGACGAGTGGTACCTGGATTGATACAGGTCTGGAAGCATTTTTACGAGTACAGCATTTACTACAAGAAGATCAAATTTAACCTTCAGATGTTATATTCAAAGATATTAAGGCCTTGACCCACCCCCTTCATTTTCCACTCGTTTTAGAGTATCTAACTCACTGTAGTGTAAACTCTGGCTCATTTCAAGTACAGGGCCGACTTTTAAGGACTAGAGCAAGTATTACAGTACTACGCATACAGACTATATTAGACAAAACGGAACAGTATACGAAATGAATTAACCCCTTCTAGAGAGATTATTCTAGTGAAATTTGTGGCTTTTGGGTAACCCTGTATATCTATAAAAAGTTGTAATCTCTGGTTGTCTGTCCGTCTGTCTTTCTGTCTGTGTGTTTGTTTGTCCGATCATAACTCAGGAGCCCGTTAATTGGTATACCTCAAATCTTGATTGGGAAACACGGGAGAGCCACGGGAATGTTTTTAGCTCGGTTTTGAGATTCTAAGTTGAGTGAGTCGACTTTAATAGCGAGAATTTAGTTTCCCGGTAAAATCGTTAAAGTGCGGATAAACGGCTGGAGTAACCTGGGCAACGTTGGCTTCCCAAGTTAGTAATGTATATATTTCTTACCTCTAAGTTTTTATTCTTATCCAAGTTTTCTAAAACTTGAATTCGGTTTCGGGTCAGATAAAGTTTCTTTAGGTGAAACAATCGGTCTAAACCTTTATAACAAACATTTTCTAAAGAATGGGGAAACAGAGGCGCAATTAGGGTATTTTTTAAGGTAAAGGGGAACATTTATGTAAGAAATCTTTTTTTAAAAATTTGACCATTTGCCCCCTGTTCTTATTCTAATAGTTACCGCCATATTGGTTTTAAATGTTTCTGAATACACCGAAAAATTATTTTATAAATAAATTTGTTTCCTTGGATTCTTGTAATTTTATTATTCTGTAGATACAGGAGCTGGATTAGAGGAGCTGATTCTAGATTCTAAATAATATTATTCTGTAGATACAGGAGCTGGAATAGAGGAGCTGATCCTAGGTTCTAAATAATATTATTCTGCAGATACAGGATCTGGATTAGAGGAGCTGATTCTAGGTTCTAAATAATATTATTCTGCAGATACAGGAGCTGGATTAGAGGAGCTGATTCTAGATTCTAAATAATATTATTCTGTAGATACAGGAGCTGGATTAGAAGAGCTGATTCTAGGTTCTAAATAATATTATTCAGTAGATACAGGAGCTGGATTAGAGGAGCTGATTATAGATTCTAAATAATATTATTCTGTAGAAACAGGAGCTGGATTAGAGGAGCTGATTATAGATTCTAAATAATATTATTCTGTAGAAACAGGAGCTGGATTACAGGAGCTGATTCTAGATTCTAAATAATATTATTCATTTCAGAGTATATTAGATAATAAAAGTGTTACACGGGCATTTTGAACCAAACATTTTAAAAATAAAAAATATGGAAAATCGATTTACTTATAGTTTTTTAAAAAATTTCCATTTCAAATACAAAAAAAACTATGGTTCAAGGGGCGCATCCATATTCGATTTTAACTTTTAACTGATGCTCTTATCACTTTTTATCGTAATTTTTGAAAAATCAAAAAATTATTCATTGCCAATTTTTACATTCTAACCATCCCTAACCCTTCCCTGAGACCATGTGATGGCTCACAAAAAAAAATCTACCCGATTGGTTCAGCCGTTTTGACGTTTATTGGTTACAAACAAACAAATAAACAAACAGACAAGCAAAATATATTTAAAGATTGAATTAAACTTCAGACTTCAGAATATTTTTGTGGGGGACTCAAAAAATAAAACACAGTGATAACCAGAAAACTCTGGAATAGGAAGACGACTTTTAGACTCATGTTTTAACTTAAATATCCCACTAAACATGAGGCACTGCAACTCTGTAGTGTAAACAGACCCATTTCCATTTATTAGTGATATGATAACTTACTAGTAAAGTTACTTGCTTTGTAACAACATCAAATGCACTTCAGCGTTGCTTTAATGTCGTCTTCCTATACCACAGTTTCCTGGTTATCACTGTAGCACATATCTTTTTAAAATATTTTCTGAATTTCTAAGACCATCAAAAGATCATGTCCAAGAAGAATCGACAAAAATTAAACATTGACCTAATCTATTTTTATACTTTGATCGTCAAATTTGAAAAAAAACCTCGAAATTTACTGTTCTAGAAAATGCGCTGATTTAAGTGATAAACAGAAAAATCCGCAAAATACAATTTACAAAGAAAAGTGGCAGCTTGAAGAACAACAGTTAACAGCTAGAATTGTTTTCTAGAAAAGAGGAGCGAAAGCCCTGGAAGCCTAGTAATTCAATATTTAATTTTTTAGTATTTGATCACTATGTTCACAGTTTATATTATATACGTATCCCTTTCAGAATCAGAATTTCAAACAATCCCTTTAACTTTTCAAATGTTTGAGAATATTTAAAAAAAAAGATATTTACTTGTATTTCTGTTATTTTGTTCCCGTAAAGGTAAAGAACTGTAATATTCTTACAACTTGATATATCTACAATCTGCTGGATACCCTGCTCCTACAATTATTTATTATTATTACAATTTTACCTGACTATGGAGATGAGAAACTCTGCAATGAAAATTTTTTATTGAAAAAAAGTTTTTTGTTTAATTCTGTATTATTTTCTTTTTGGATAATCTGTCAACATTTAACATAAAAGACCGGTCGAATATTTTTCAGCTTTGCATTTTTTTGCCTTTATATAGAAATTAAGTTAAACTAAAAAATAAAAAATATTTCTTCAAATTTTTAAAAAAAAACGTTTTAGAAAAAAATTCTCAAATTTCTCACGAAATTTGTAAAAGACAGAAATACTTATACTTTAAGTAACATTTCGTAATTCTATATAGAGTGAAGGAAATATTGGTTATTTTTTGTTGTAAAGAAAAAAATTATTTCCTAAGTAGCCATGAACTCTGGTCTTCACCAGGCAATCTTACAAACATCTTAGATACCCCCTCAACAACCTTAAGTACAACTTTTTAACATTATTTAGAATCAAACTGAAGAAACTATTCGTACAGGGTGTCCCAATAAACATGGGAATTCAGAGATGATATAAAAAATAATTTTAGTCCTTTTTTTTTTGCAGAAAATGCTAGATTTTTCGAGTATCATGTGCGTATTTTGGCGCTAAAGATTGGAGATAATCTAATATGATATGGGACGCTCTGTATATCGTCTTATACGCAACATCCCCCTATACGGAACTTCTGATCTACAGGGTGTCCCGGGTCCCCCACGTCATATTAGAATGTCAATCGGTTTAAATTACGATTTTTGAGACTAAAACAGTTAAGAAAAATGAATCATTTGAAAAATTGAATAAAGGCTATAAATATAAGAAATTGCTAGGTTTTTTGTTGAGTATTTTGGGTTTATTTTGGCGTTAAAACTAGGAGATAAGATATGGAACGCTCTGTACTATAATCGGACCTACGCCAGCTGTTTTTTTGTATTATTTCAGGGTTAGGTTATGCTAAGACAATTTCTGGGCCGAGCACCGCGGCTAGGACTGGCTAGGGGGCCAGGCGCTGCGGCCACATAGTCCGGTATTACATCCACCTAATGATACATCTGTCGATACGATATATCGGACCGATCATGTTGCGTACAGGGTGACCCACGAAACATGACATTTGATAAATAGTTATGTTTAGTTAAACAAAGATCTTTTGCTTAATTTTATTTTACCTTGAAATTAATTTTAATATAACATGACTACAATATAATATTTTTATTGATCTTTGGTGTCGAACAACTGAACAAATAATTGAAGAAGACATTCTAAAGTATTCATCAACTGTCATGTTTCGTGTGACACCCTGTAGGTCCGAAGTACTGTTGGACGGAAACGCCGTATGAAAGAACTAATTTTATCCACAAGTCCATCTTGCAGCTGTAAAACCACGTGCTAGTAGGTCGGATGTGTAGTATAGCGGGTTGGCTTAGGTCAGAAGTGGAGTATAGCGGATTTGCGTACGTCGGAAGATACACCATCTTCGTTCCGAAAAATATTTACTACGACGACATTCAAAAATTGCGGCATTCACAACTCTCCTTTCCAAACCAAACCCATAAACACAGGGAGGGCGAGTAAGGAAACTTTCGGGGCTTTACAGTTTAATTCATAGATTTTAGTTGAAATATCGTTGTATTGTTAACGTAAACATACTTTTGGGCGCCAATTAGACGTCTTTGCGTCAAATAATACCTTTTTATCTAGGCGTGATGAAACATTTCACGAGAAAAATTATTTCTTAATGCTTGCCGGGAAATTTGTTTCAAAATTCATGTTTTTCATACTTAAAATCTGGAACAAAGCACGAGATAATTCAAATAAGTAATCACAGGTTATTATATATGTGGTCTGGACCCACCTAACTAGCGTAGGTTGTTCTAACTTCTTTTCTTATCCCGAAAACAGAGGGTCTTAACATTAACATACAAAATTTGGGTCTGTCCTAGAGAACGATTTTTGGACCCCGGCCCCCCCCCCCTCCTATAAATTTTGTACATGACCATTTATTTTTTAGCAAATTTATTATTATTTATTTTTTTGTTATTTAGGGTTAGGTTAGGTTAAGACACTTTCTGGGCCGAGCGCTGCGGCCACGGGTGAGGTTAGTTAAGACACTTTCTAAGTGAGTAAACTTCTAAAATGTAAAACTCCAGGCGAAGCTGGTTGTTTTTAGGCCATTATGGTTAATTTACTTTACATTTAAACTTACTTGGAATCCCAGCTTTTCCTTGAAACCGTATCTTTCATGTTTTAAAGTCAATTTAGAATTTCCTAACCAAGCAAAGAACATTTTCATGGTTCTTCCGAGTTCACCATTCAAAATATGAGGCAAATCGGTCAAAGAGTTAATCTGTTATGAACGATATGTATACAAACAAACAATCTGAGATTACTATTCACATATATATATATATATAAAAAAAACTAAACGTTAAATATCATTTTAGACAGTTCACAATGCCGGAACCTAAAATAGATGTAGAGTTTTGTCTAATATTAATAGACAAGCTATCCAAACCAAATCTTACAGATGCAGAAACAACATCATTGCTCAAAGAGCTTATTGACTGTGCAAGGTATGACTTATCGTATTACAATATTAATAGGTTAGAAAGGTTTTGAAATGAGAAAGGAGAAATCAAATGTATGAAAATGGAATAACATCAAAAAATTAAGATTGTATTCAATGTTAAGTTGGATTTTGACTTACAGTAATTCCTAAAAGTAGATTCTGTTAACAATTAAAGGGCTGTAAGCGTAATTTCAAGTGACCCTCCATTTAAAACATGCAATGCCCGATTTACAACGGTACTCTTGAAACGTTTATCTGATTAATAATGTGGAAGATATTGTCGTTTTTCAAGATTTAAAATAATTTGAAATTGAAAATTCCTTTACGTTTTCTAGTGCTTATGATTCTCCCTTTTTTCAAAAGTTCAGATTTGAGTTTTAGGAGTAAACAAGTTTTTTTTTGCAGTTTTTCGTTGATATTTTACCCCTTGGATCCGTATTTGCGGATCTGGATCCAGGAAGCCAAAATCTTGCGGATCCTGTGGTTTTCCTGAACTAGAAATTGAAGTAGAGAAACCCAGTTTTCAAAATTAAGTCCAATACATAATTTATCAGTGATCAGACAAAGTTTGTGAGGATATCACTTTAAATTACACTTACAGTCCCTTTATGGTATAGGGGGACCCATTGTATATGATAAGTTTTAATATATTGATAATTAAAATTTATAAATATTGATAAATAATTATTTCAATTGATAAGCCCTTAACATTTTTCTTCTGACTAATTAGGGGAAAACGGGAAAGAAGATTTAAGCCCCCGCTAAATTTATTGCTTTAATTGTTATGATATTAAACACTGTTTAAGGGAAGTTTTATACTTTTACGCCCAAATAATAAATAAAAACAATCTTGATTTTCTCAAACGAAAGTTGCTTGCTACCCTAAAAAGCACTGGGAAAAGATGAAAATTAACCATTTTTCTTGAGAAAAGAAACGAGATGCGTTTTAAATTCCATATTAATATTTATTTTGATACTGCTTAAGAAATGAGGAACTGAAAGAGATGTTAGTTCAAGGAGTGGAAAATATATCAGAAATAAGAGAGGAATTTAAAGCTAAGGTAACTCATTAACAACCTTATAGGACATGAGGACGAAACATGGATTTAAAAGGGACTATTGTTGAATTATCAAGTAACCGTATATTTTACAATTCACCCTTTAAACTTTAGACTATGTTAAAACGATAAATATATCCTCGATTCTCTTTCTGAAAATTGACGATTTTTCTCTAGAAATGACTTGCAGATATATGCAGCAGAGATAAAGAAATTAATTAAATAACATTTTTATTTTTTTATACATTCCTGATTATTACTCACTGAACGGTTTAAAAGGTGTGACTCGATAATATAATTAACTCATAAAATAAAGGGATAGTTGACAGTCCCTTTAATGATCGTTTTTGATCTAGTGCATAGGATCTTGAGGCGGATCCGGACCCCGGATCCGCCCTGAAAAATGGGAGTCCGATCCGGATCCAGGTCATGAACAGTTCTTTAAGATATACTGATTTTCTATAAAAGAAGAATTTTAAGTTATTTTTTCTTTTCCCCGCCTTATTTGTATGCTAAAACTCCATGAACCATTTAGACATAAGGACTTTTTTCTACAGTTGAGATTTTTGGGGTGTGAGAACAATATTTTTTTTTAGTTTTTGGTTCATATTTTGTCCCTTGGATAGCCATGGATCCGCATATTTTTGCGGATCTGGATCCAGGAAGCCAAAATGTTGTGGACCAAACGGATCTTTATTCTAAGTACTGCGTTTGTCTTAAATGCATGTATTACTACAGGCGCTTGAATTGAACGGGGAAGCTCCGACACCAGTCGTGGATTCTACCGATTATGTTGCTCTGCTCAAGAAACTGATTGATCCTAATATTGGAGACATGGAGATGAAACCAACTTTAAAACTTTTAATGGAAGGTAATTATGACAAATTGAATTTGTACAAGAATTAAAATTGTAAATACAACAATTGTACATGCTGCTTAAAAAATGTAAAGACTGAAATAATTTCCATTAATCCGGAGGGAAAAGTTGTTTATTAGTTTTAATCATAAACTTGTTTTTTTGTCTTTAGATCTGATTCTAGGTTGCTTACAAAATTTGCGAATATAAAAATTTGCTAAATATGTTCGATCATTGATAAAATATTGCTTAAATTAATTGGTCTCCGGTTTTAAAAATAAATGTTTCCATTCACATTTTTGTCCTGAGGTTATATTTTTCTTGGAAATATTTTCTGTCAGGCAAGTTTTTTTCAACAGCTATTTAAAGATGGTCGTCCGGTGATCAAACAATTTTTATTGGAAATAGAGAAAAATAGAGAAAATTTATAAATTTTTGGAAAAAACGGGATAAATCAGATCTTTCTCGTAATTAGTGAATGTTTCTAGGAAGCTTAAACGAGGATCAGCGGCATCAAGTTAATATTATTCTAAATTGCAAGGAAACCATTTTTATTGATGACATTGATGATTCAATCCATATAATCAACACACATATTTAGGAGTTATAAACACTTTACGTTTCTACAAGGGGTAAAGTGTCATAATTTCAAGTGATCCTTCAATTCCGATTCACAACGGTACCATTAAAAGCTTTGTCTGGTCAATGAAAACACTGTAAGAATAATCAAGCCAAGGAAACGAGGTTACCTGCCTTCCTCAATACTGACCAGATAAAGATTTCAAGGATATCGTTGTGAATTGGGCATGTCGCTCTGTTTAAATGAAGGATATCGTTGTGAATCGGGCATGTCGCTCTGTTTAAATGAAGGATATCGTTGTGAATCGGGCATGTCGCTCTGTTTAAATGAAGGATATCGTTGTGAATCGGGCATGTCGCTCTGTTTAAATGAAGGGTCTCGTTGTGAATCGGGCATGTCGCTCTATTTAAATGAAGGGTCTCGTTGTGAATCGGGCATGTCGCTCTATTTAAATGAAGGTCACTTGACATTGGAACGTCTGTTCTTCTAAGGACTAGAAAAAAAAATTATTTATGTAAAATACAAATATAAGTGGAAAGTAAATGAAACATTTCAATTTAAAAAATGTTAATTTAAAAGTTCCAATTCAAAATGAAAAAAAAATATTTGCACAAACATTGCATAAAAAAATATGGTTTAGCTTCTAACATTTGAAGTTTGTTTTTAATAAAGAAATTGGTCAGGATCCGAGACAACGAGATGATATGATGGACGATTTTAAGAAATCCTTCGTCAAGGTCAAAGCTAAGAAGAAGGTGACGGAGAAGGTGGTGAAGGAGGTGGAGGATCAGAATAAGGAGCATCTCAAAGGGGATTTCAGAATCCTGATAGACAGACTCTTAGATTCTAAGGTAGATACGGATTTTTTGTATCCACGGTTGATATATTTCACAAAAAAAACGAAGTAAAAATATTTTCGATAAAGAATAAAATTGTCTCCTTGTTCATTTTAATGTTTGGCCCATATCTGCATTTTTGGCCATTAATCAGGCTGGTATACATTAATCAGGTTGGTATACATTAATCAGGCTGGTATACATTAATCAGGCTGGTATAGATTAATCAGGCTGGTATACATTAATCAGGCTGGTATACATTAATCAGGCTGGTATACATTAATCAGGCTGGTATACATTAATCAGGCTGGTATACATTAATCAGGCTGTTATACATTTTTAAGAAAGATTTTTTGGCTCTGGGGAAAATATTTGACATTAAAGGCAAATTTTTCTCCTTTTTGATACTGATTAAAATCACCCAAACATACGTTGTATCTGGGGGAAAAAAAATTTCCAAAAAAGGGGGGGGGAGATTTTTCAGGAAATCAGGAAAATATACCCCTCGGCCCTGTACCGTTATTTACAGTTGTATTTTTAGTTGAAGATTGGGAAGCGAACTGAGATTTACCACCGGCTCATGGAACCTGATGTTGAAGCAGATTATAAAAACCTGGCAATTAAACTAGTTGATCCACAGGTGATAATAAAAAAGGCTTTTAAAGGGACTGTAAGCGTAATTACAAGTGACCCTGCATGCTAAGACGGGTAATACCCGATTCACGACGGTACCCTTTAAACCTCGATCTGTTAAATACTGTGTAAGATATCGTCGGTTTCTATGTTAAAACTAATTTTGATTCTGTTAATTCCTACGTTTCTCTACAGATAAAGAAATGCACGAGTCACAAATTCATTCTTGATCAGACCGTACCGTTGTGAATCCAGCTTTGTCATCTTTGGGTGGTGGGTCACTTCAAATTAAGCTTACATTCCCGTTATGGTCAGCTAATTTGTAAGAGTTATAAATCTCTAACTCAAAAAGGTACGTCCGGACAAATATTATTTGTATTTTTGACAAATATCATCTGGCGGCATCAATTTTCAAGGATTTTTTAAAGTTGAATTTAAAACTTTTTGAAATTATATATTTGATATTTATATCAACTGCTCTTCCTAATATTCTGCACCCTACCCAACCTCCAAATACCATTAAAACCTTTGAAAGTCTTTTTCTTTTAAGTTAAGAGAAATAATTTCAAAATTGTTCATGGGAGACATGAGATAATAAACGAGAGCCTTTAATAGAAACATGTGTTGTTTAGAACAAAGATCGGAGAATTGAGATAGTTGCCGCGTTTGATGTCGAGATGAAAGCACGCAAAGAACAGGAGGCGCTCCAGGCCGCGCGGAAGAGAGAGGAGCAGGAGCGCATCAGAAAAGCGGAGATAGAGAGAAAGCGTAAAGTGAAAGAACGAATGCAGGAAGCAAGAGAGTTGAACAGAATAAAAGAAGAAAGAATGAAGAAGAGGGATTTGATGTTAAAGATGAAAGCAGAACAACGTAGAATGGGCCAAGATAAGGTAGAGGGTTATCCACAAAATAAAAGACGTCAGAGACGACTGTACATAATTTATTCAATCTTCATTCTTATATTATCGGGTTCCTGCAGCTGTAAGCCTATTTGTTTCTGTGTCAAATCATTAGCCTGTCTTTTATAGCCAAATTCAGCCATCCTTTTAGTTAAAGTGTAACTGATCGTGTTTTAAGTCTCCACGTTTTGGTTAGTCCTGTTGAATGAAAAATTGACAATTTCTAAAATTTAATTTTTAATAAGGACATTTGATCCCGGTCGGTTCAGACAGCTTGATCCCCCCCACCNCCCCCCTCCTCCCCCACACTCTGTATTGTGTGCTCAATTCTTTTTTCTAAAATTTAAAACTTCATTTTTTTAATAGATGCTGATGACGAATCAGGAGAAAGAAGAAATTCGAAGAAGAGAACGGGAAAAGGTGAAAGCAGAAATGCTTAAGTTCCGAAAATCCCAGAAAGAGAATGCGAAGAAGAAAGACGAAGAAAGAAAGAAGGAGAAAGATGAACGGAAATCATATTTTATACTTCCCTGTATTCCGAAACAAAACTTTGGAACGGTTAAACTTAAAATCCCGAATTTCCTGATGAACAATTCACTAATTGGGACGGATAAAGAGTGTTTAGAAAGAGCCCTTGAGAAATTAGGCATAAAACTTCCTCCACCTGGGGATCAGAGAGATGTACCTCTTGTTGCTGCTCTGCCAACGGAACAAAAGGATGTTTCCTGCCCTGTTCCTCCACCGCCAGAGGAGGAAATGCACGAAGATTTTCAACTTTATTTTGAGAAATTCTCAAATCCCGATTTAACTGAAGTAGAGGAAATAAATATTTTCAAGGATCTAATCAAAGCTCAAAGATCAGGACTTGTCAGACAGTTAGTTATTAAAATGGCGCCTTTGGAAAATTTGGGGAAATCTAAAATATTTTCGACCCTTTGCAATAAGTTTGTTGGGGAGAGAGTTTTTGATAAGGTGCAGATTGAAACTTGTAGTTCAGAACCAGAGGCTAAAACTTCGAAATTGGAGGCCAAAACTTCAGAGGGTAAAGCAACCACAAGTACCAAATCGGAGTATGAAAATACCGCAAGTGAACCAGAGTCTAAAACCTCTACATCCGACAGTAAGATTAAGACTTGTTTGAAAGAACCGGAGACTGTATCCGCAGCATCTAATTCTGAATCTACCATGACAGAGGATGAACAAATAACAGAAACTGACAAAAATTCCTCAACATCTGGATCAATTTCTCAAACAGTATTGGTTCAAGATGAAGTTTCCTTAAAATCAAAACCAGTTCAGAAAAGTTCAAGTCCAGAACCTGTAACAGCAGAATATTCTATTTTGAAGTTTGATGCATCTAAAAGTACTAGGAAAGACTCTGAAACCCTTATTCCTCAGAACACCATTGTTGCAATCTCTAAGTCAGATTCTAACTCAAAAACTGATCCTTCACTAAACATTCAAGATGGTAATGTAACTAATAAACCAACATCTAGTCTCATGAACGAGAAACACAAAGAAGATAAGAAGTCTGAAAGCGACAAAGAAAATGTTTCCGATGAAACCGTACCGCTCAAAGAATCCTCAGGAAAGGCATTGAAAAACAAAAGAGGTATCCAGCCAAAGCCGAAAAAGAAGCCATGTAAAAAGCTGTTAAAACTTACCCCCGCCGAAATTCGAGAAAGATTCAAGTTGAAAAAAATAGACGTTTACGTCAAGATTAAGTCAAATAAGAATCTTTATAAAGCGTTTCTAGCCCAAAAAGCCAGTGCCTCGCCTATTGTAAGCAAGATGATTATAATTGAAAATAATAAAAGAGCCCCAATTTCTAAAAACTCAAATCCGATTGTAGACACAAAGAAATCCGCTAAAACAAATGTACCAACAAAAATTCGCAAAAGAAAGGGAGAAATATCAGCGGGTGAAGTGAATAAAAAGATAAAGTTAAATCCTCTTTTTGAATTGAACATTGAAAATTTAGGTGCCACAATTAACTCTTCTGCTGGCTGTGGTAAAATGCAAGAAGATCTGGAAATATCTGAAACTGTTGCTGAAATTAAAACTGGTTTGAAAGAAAGCACTTCTAGTCCAAGTGTTATTTGTAGATCAAGGTCAAGATCAAAATCAAAATCGGTATCAAGATCTACTTTGAGATCAAGATCAAAATCAATATCAAGGTCAAGGTCAAGGTCAAGATCAAGGTCAAGATCAATTACGAGGTCAAGATCAGTTTCAAGATCTGTATCACGATCAATTTCAAGTTCAAGATCAAAATCAGGTTCAGGATCAAGATCCAAGTCCAGATCCAAGTCCAGATCCAAGTCCAGATCCAAGTCCAGGTCCAAGTCCAGATACAAGTCCAGTTTCAGATCCAAGTCCAGATCCAAGTCCAGTTCCAAGTCCAGATCCAAGTCCAGATCCAAGTCCAGGTCCAAGTCCAGATACAAGTCCAGTTTCAGATCCAAGTCCAGATCCAAGTCCAGATCCAAGTCCAGATCCAAGTCCAGATCCAAGTCCAGATCCAAGTCCAGATCCAACCCCAGATCCAAGTCCAGATCCAAGTCCAGATCCAAGTCCAGATCCCGGTCAAGATCCCGGTCAAGGTCGAGGTCAAGATCCCGGTCAAGATCCAGGTCATGATCCAGGTCAAGATCAAAATCAAGACCATGAGTTCCACGGAAGAAGATCAATACTATGAGTTCCACGGAATAAGATCAATGCTACGAGTTCCACGAAAAAGAGTCAAAAATCCAACTCGATTAAGAACGATTATGAACAGATATATGTATTTGTAATCCTAGTATGTATGACCATTGTCCAAGACTAAAAAATAATCGATTTATATTTTCAGATTGTAGGTTAAAAAGGCCGGCAAATCTTGATAAAAGGTGATTATTAAGCATTTTATTTATACAAGCTTAATTACTAGAACACACATGATAACACATTTTACATTATTTTTTATCCTTTTGTTTCCCCAGTAATAGGAAGTTTTAAATTATCTTCTTCCAGTTGATTCTAAAACTATGACTGGTTAAAAGCAACACGTACTTTCCCCGATGTATTTTTACACTTTGATCCGGATCCGTGGATCTCTATATTTTTTTCCGATTCGGATCCGATTTTAACTCACTGTTTCTCGATTTGATTTTTTTTTTGTTTCGGATGTACGAGGGGGAGGGGGATTAAAGGAATCCATTTAGGAGAGGTTTTAAAGTAAATTTTTACCGTCATTTTTAACATTTTATTTAAAAGAATATTTTAAGGATGAATTCCGACGAGAAGTCTTCAATGAAGGAGTTGGAGGGATGGATTGAACAGCTGATGGAGTGTAAACAACTCTCAGAGAACCAGGTATTAAGAGACTGTTCACGGTTTTTTTTTTCAAACTAAGAAAGATTTGTTAAAAAGTTTAAATGACTGGAAGCTAATTTAAAAATGTTTCCAAGATTCGATTATTTTGAGAATGTTTAATCATGTCAAGTTCGACGGATCCTGAGAATTATTCTGAAAATATTTTTGAAGATTTGGGGGAAAAAATAAAAAATTGGACATCGAGAGGTTTTTTTCATCCTATTTCTTACTTTTTATCCAAAATTTTTATTTTTTTTTCTCCTAAAACATACTTATCTTCTGCGGAATTTTTTTTCCAAAGGGGAGGGGGGATTTTTAAAGAAAATATACACCCTTCATTTCTATTCTAGGTTAAGGTTCTCTGTGAGAAGGCAAAGGAGATTCTATCCAAGGAAAGCAACGTTCAGGTAAAAAAAAACATTATTATTGTTATTTTTATTATTATCATTATGATTATTATTATTTTTATTATTATTATTATTATTGTTATTATTATTGTTATTATTATTATTATTTTTATGATTTAATTATTATGATAATTATTTTGTGTAATTACGCTTGACTAACAGTTAAGTATTTATAAAGTTATTAACCAGATCATTCTCAGCTTTTTATTTCTATCAATACAAACAGTTTCGGATTGCTCCTCTTAAGTCAATAAACATGGTTCCATATATATATATATACTAATATACAAATTTAAACAAACCTAACTCTCCTCTACCTAACCTCCTTGATCCTACTTCTAATTAAATTATCTACCCCTCTATTTGCAAAGGCGGTGAAGTGCCCTGTAACCGTGTGCGGAGATGTGCACGGGCAGTTCCACGACCTGATGGAGTTGTTCAAGATTGGCGGAAAGTCCCCGGACACCAACTACCTCTTCATGGGGGATTACGTGGACCGTGGATACTACAGTGTAGAGACTGTGTCTCTTCTAGTATCTCTTAAGGTGATTAAGTTGATAAATGAGTCATCTGTGCAGGCTTAAACCACTGGCAAGGCTGTATGTTTTCTTTAAAAATCATTTCCCCCCCCTTTCTTTGAAAATAATTTTATCATCAGATGTAAAAACTGTTTCAGATTTTATTTGCTTACATGGGAGAAAAAAAGAAAGATTAATTTTTTTGCTTGAAAGTATTAAAATAAATGCATAAACTTGCTGTTTTCTAATTTTTCATTTTTCCACATAGCATTATAAATCATTCACTCTCGCCCCTACTGTTAGATATTTATGTTGAATACCCGCTCGTAAAGTTTAAACCTTTATTGAGATCAATTCCAATAGCTCACTGAAACCCTATTTCATCTTGAAACATTGTACGTATTTTATGCCCTAAAACTACGCATTCGTGATAATGTTTTAAAGATTTAGTACTTTTTATGATAATAACAATAATGGAATCTAAAAATGAATTTGCGAAAAAATATTTTCTAACTGTTATGATTTAGGTTCGCTACAGCAGCAGAATCACCATTCTTCGTGGCAATCATGAGTCCAGACAGATCACTCAGGTCAATATACTCAGGGGATCCCTCCCCCTCTCTCTCGCTTACAAACATAACCTTCCACAAATAGTTTTCTTTCCCGCGGGATTGATGATTTTGTGCGCTGAAATATTACAGAAAACTAAAAGAACATTTTTAAATTCTTCTTCCAACCTCATAAACCAAAAACTCTATTTTGCGCAGAATATTTTACAAAAATGTTGGTCCTGTCAAGGACATGTAAAAAAAAAATTTCTTCTGAAACGTTTTTTTCTTACTTTTGTGATATTGACAAATGTAACATTGTAAATGTTCAGGTATATGGATTCTACGACGAATGCTTGAGAAAGTACGGGAATGCAAACGTGTGGAAGTATTTCACAGATTTGTTTGATTATCTCCCTCTGACCGCCCTTGTAGACAGCCAGGTTGAACTTTCATTTTTTCTAGTGATTCAGAGGTCAGATTTTATGAATTGCGAGGAGTTGAACTAGATACGTATAGTTAATAATACTATGTAAGTGTGGCAAAGTTTACACTAGAAAAGTAATTCTTCAGAACCTCTAGTTCATCTATTTCTCCCAATTCATTAAATCCGATCTTAGAAAACTATTTTGCAGGGGTGTATACAGATTTTCCTAAAATTCCCCCCTCCCCTTGTAGAATTTTTTTCCCCAGTAGTTTTTTGTTTTTGTTTGCTGAATTGGGGAAAATAAATGATTTTTTAGGGTAAATAGATGATTTCTTGGGTTAAAAGTATTAAAAAGAATGAAAAAACTTGCCCATTTTTCAGTTTACCCCCCTCCAATTCATCCAAATTCATACCCCCCCGGGGGGGGTGTGTAAATTCTGAAAAATATACACCCCTGCCTTACTGTCAATTGATGCATTTGTTTATTTGCGTATTTTTCAACTCGCTTTTTAAGAATTTGCATTACCATTGTGCCCGTTTTGGGAATTTTAGCACTTTCCATAGAAACAATACCTAGATCCACAGGAATTGTTCAGCTATTAACATGATGGGGCAACATCAATTCTCCATTGCGCACCTCTTTAATACACATGAGTCTCTTATATTCTTGATTTCTGGTACAGCGATACAGAGCTAGGACCCGTGAACTGAAAAACAATACATCAGTCACGGGTTGCATAAAATAATAAATTATTATTAGAATGATTTAAATGAATAAAATTAGCCAAGTTTACATTAAAATTTGCTCCAGGTGTGCTAAGTGTGAATAAGTTGTAACAACAATTAGGTATTAAGATAACACTTACAATGTGCTAAATGTGAATAAATTGCGACAAATTTATATGAATTAAGGTAACACTTACAAAGTTGATTAGGCCGGAGAATTTAATAGCTCTAGATTATTCTTCAACACAAAATTGTTTCTCTAATACTGGAATATGTAATCTTTATATCTATCTTTCCTTTCCCACTTTCTAATCAACAACTAAATACATTTGTAATCATTATATCTATCTTTCCTTTCTCCTTTCTAATCAACAACTAAATACATTTGTAATCTTTATATCTATCTTTCCTTTCCCACTTTCTAATCAACAACCAAATACATTTGTAATCTTCTTTATATCTATTAGATCTTACAACCATATTCCGCTGTATTCTATTCTAGGATCATGTTAATGATATATTATTTTGTCAATTGTTTAAATGATTTAATAATGTCATTATTTCAGGATTGATTTATTGATTGATTTATTGATTGATTCATTTATTTATTCATTTACTCATTTTTTGATTTATTCATTGAGTCATAAAATAGTTGATAAGAGTTGATTGATTGATTGATTGATCAAATTATTGTAAGATTGAATAATTGATTAATTGATTAACTTATACAATGATTGATTAATTGATTAGATCTTCTGTCTGCACGGAGGATTAAGTCCCAGTATTGATACTTTGGATCATATCAGAGCCTTAGATAGGTTAGTCACAGTAAACCTCGATCCTCGTCCTATACTTCTTAATAATCCTCTCCCGCCCCCCCCCTTCCCCGTCCCCTTCGTACCCTCCTTCCCCCGCTTTGTCCCCTGGGTCCCCTCCCGTTGACCCTCCATGTAAAGATGGCAATGTCCGACTCACAACGGTACCCCTGAAACCTTTATATGAAAAATAAAATCAAATTGTCGTGTTTCTTGATTTTAAATAATTTCTTTAAGTTCTCCTGCAGTAGAAATGCGCAAGTCACTTCAGTAGAGTAACCACAATTGAAAAAGAGCATCGTTCAATACTCAAACAGACTTTTTCTGGGTACCGTTAGGAAACGGAAATTGCAATCTTTGCATGGAAAGTCACTGAAAATTACACTAAGTCCTTCCTTTCCCCCTTTCTAATCAACAACCAAACAGATTTGTAATCTTAATATCTATCTTTCCTTTTCCCCTTTCTAATCAACAACCAAATACATTTGTAATCTTTCTATCTATCTTTCCTTTCCCCCTTTCTAATCAACAACTAAATACATTTGTGATCTTTATATCTATCTTTCCTTTCCCCTTTCTAATCAACAACTAAATATTTGTAATCTTTATATCTATCTTTCCTTTCTCCCTTTCTAATCAACAACTAAATACATTTGTAATCTTTATATCTATCTTTCCTTTCCCTCTGTCCAACCAAAAACTAAATACATTTGTAATCTTAATATCTATCTTTCCTTTCTCCTTTCTAATAAACAACTAAATGCATTTGTAATCTTTATATCTATCTTTCCTTTCTCCCTTTCTAATCAACAACTAAATACATTTGTAATCTTTATATCTATCTTTCCTTTCCCTCTGTCTAACCAAAAACTAAATAACTTTGTAATCTTAATATCTATGTTTCCTTTCTCCTTTCTAATAAACAACTAAATTCATTTGTAATCTTTATATCTATCTTTCCTTTCCCCCTTTCTAATCAACAACTAAATACATTTGTAATTTTTATATCTATCTTTCCTTTCCCTCTGTCTAATCAACAACTTAATACATTTGTATTCTTTATATCTATCTTTCCTTTCCCCCTTTCTAATCAACAACTAACTACATTTGTAATTTTTATATCTATTTTTCCTTTCCAACTTTCTAATCAACAACTAAATACATTTGTAATCTTTATATCTATCTTTCCTTTCCCTCTGTCTAATCAACAAATAAATACATTTGTAATCTTTATATCTATCTTTCCTTTTCCCCCTTCTAATCAACAACTAAGTTCATTTGTAATCTTTTTATCTATCTTTCCTTTCCCCTTTCTAATCAACAAGTAAATACATTTGTAATCTTTATATCTATCTTTCCTTTCCCTCTTTCTAATCAACAACTAAATACATTTGTAATCTTTATATCTATCTTTCCTTTCCCCTTTCTAATCAACAACTAAATACATTTGTAATTTTTATATCTATCTTTCCTTTCCCTCTGTCTAATCAACAACTAAGTACATTCTTTATATCTATCTTTCTAACTGATAACCTTTTTCTATCTAATCTATCTTTGCATTCAACTATATTTATTCAACTGAATAACTTTGTATCTACCTATCATCCTGGACCTATATATGTACATTACTATATCTAATTATCAAAACATCTAACTTTTAAATTTCTTTTTATAAATCTAACTTTCTATCTATTTAGCTATTTTTCTACCTTGTATCTTTTTATCTATAAACCTTAACTGTCGCTCTATCCTCTTAACTATCTATCTTATCATTTTATCTAACTATCTGTCTAACTATCTAACTATTTATTTATCTATCTATCTTTCTATCCATCTAGACTGCAAGAAGTACCCCACGAGGGTCCAATGTGTGATCTACTATGGTCCGACCCAGATGACAGGTATATATATCAAATCAAAAATACAATTTATTTTTCCATATTTCTCATTTTCTCAATTTCAATTCTGTCAGATGTCTGCTGAAATCTGAGCACGTAAAGTTACGTTGAGGATGGACGGCCGTTGGAATATGAACATTTTTTTGTTGAGAAACCACCGCTCCATCAATTCTTTTCATCCTTAGTATAAAAGTATGGCAAGAGTGATCCCTTACTTATTAACTTAATATGCTCCAATGGTTCAGAGAAATGTGTATGTGTGTGGAGCGGGAAGGGGGGGATATTATATTATAAATCATAAAAAACTCTGCCATCAGGAATAATAAAAGCACGTTTTTCAGAGGAGGTTGGGGAATTTCCCCTCGTGGAGCTGGATATACGTTTGGACAGGATATCTCCGAAACCTTCAACCATTCAAACGGTCTTACACTTGTATCCAGGTAAAATAACGGTCTTACACTTGTATCCAGGTAAGATAACAGTCTTAAATTGATATCCAGTCAAAATAACGGTCTGACACTTGTAACCAGCTAAAATAACGGTCTGACACTTGTATCCAAGTAAAATAACGGTCTAACACTTGTATCCAAGTAAAATAACGGTCTAACACTTGTATCCAGGTAAAATAGCGTTTTTACAATTGTGCCCAGGTAAAATAGCGGTCTTACACTTGTATCCAGGTAAAATAACAGGATATAACTGGTCACATGATTACAATAATATTATGTTTAGAGCCCATCAGCTTGTTATAGAAGGATATAATAGGTCACATGATCACAATAATATTATGTTTAGAGCCCATCAGCTTGTTATGGAAGGGTATAACTGGTCACATGAGAGAAATGTTGTCACTATTTTCTCGGCTCCAAACTACTGCTATAGATGCGGAAATCAGGTTGGATCATTTTTTCATTCATTATATTCATTGATTCATTGATTCATTGATTCATTGGTTCAGTGGTTCACTGGTTTATTGGTTTATTGACCCATTGGTTCATTTATTTGTTAGTTAAATCTGTGTTAGTTTATTGATCAATTAGTTACCTCATTAATTCATATGTTCATTGATTCTTCAACACTTTTCATTCTTTTATTTAATTATTTGTTTAATTAATTATTTAATTATGTGCCAGTTCATTGATTTATCAATTTAATAATTAACTAGTTAGAGTATTGCCAAATTATTGATATAATTATTGAGTATTTTCCAAATCGCTGATTCAATATAGATTCGAAATTTAACAATTTATCAATTTTACATTGAGACCCATATAACTAAGGAATAGTAAGACATTAAAGTCCTTTTCTGTATTGATGAAATTTTTATGCAAATAGTTTCACGAGTAGCTTTTAAAAACAATGGGTCTATGTACACTTGGGTATTGCTGTGTCTTATGTTAATTGAACTTTTACAACTCATAATCGGAGTGTTAAAGTCGTCTTCCTATTTTACTTTATTATAAATACCTCTGTATGTTTTGGATAATATATGGTGTTTAATGATTATCGTTTAGGCTGCTATAATGGAGCTGGATGATACACTCAAGTACTCCTTCCTTCAGTTTGATCCTGCTCCCAGGCGTGGAGAACCTCATGTTACCAGACAAACACCAGACTATTTCCTCTAAACACCAGACTACTTCCTCTAAACACCAAACTACTTCTTCTAAACACCAGACTACTTCTTCTAGAAACCAAACTACTTCCTCTAAACACCAGACTACTTCCTCTAAACACCAGACACTTTCCTTTAGATACCAAACTACTTCCTCTAAACACCAGACTACTTCCTCTAGATACCAGACCACTTCTTCTAAACTCCAAACTACTTCCTCTAAACACCAGACTAGTTCCTTTAAATCTTAAGATATCAGACTACTTTCTTTAAGCATCAGACTACTAAACCTTTAAACAACAGTCAAACACAATACTAATTCCTTTTAACAATAGAAAAGCATCAACATATTTCCTAAAAACACCAGTTAAACACTAGACAAATTCCACTAAAAAGACTTAAGATACGTTAAACATCAGAAAAAAAACTGCAAAAAATTTCTCCTCATCCATCCTTTTTTATCCAAAGCCTATTCTTTTCATTCAATATCCAAACTTTATAAAAAATTTTGACCATCCAAACCCTTTGATAAAATGTATTCGTAAAATCAATCCTTTGACTTCTGTACTCATACTCATTTTATAATTTGATGTAAAATTAATATGTCTGAATAACTTCAACAAATGTGTGGATGTTTTTTAACAAAAATTAAGAAAAAAACTATTTGATTTAATGTTAATTTAAGTTCTTGATATTAGAGTAAAGGGGTGGTATAACCAGTATGTTTAAATAATTAAGACATTTTGAACTCTCTGAATGAACGTAATGACGTGAAATCTCCAAGATATTGCCATCCTACTTGTTTCAAGCAAACGTATATTCTAGTTGTAAACAACACGTGTAATTGTTAAGTGTAATATATTTAGATGTAATTCCATGTGACCATTATCTTATAAGTGATCCTCACTAATTTAATGATATTCCAGTTTTTTCTTCAAATTAAAATCGAGTTTCACGCATTTGAGTAAACTCGAGTTATATTCTTCAACACAAAATTGTTTCTCTAATACTGGAAAAAAACCCCCCCCCCCCCCTTATCCCCGGTTTATAATAAAACACTATTAAGGTGGCTGCCCACTAACAATAATTCTGGAGGATTTTAATTCACATTTTGGAGGCAATAAAAAAATATTAATTTTACTAATAACAAAATTTAAGATATTATGATTTTTAAAATATTAAACTTAGTTTTGAGGATGTCTCCGCCGTGAATGACGAATTAAATATTCCAGATAAAATGTCAGGCGGAGTTTACGGCGGAGATGAGGTCGGAGCTCTGGTTTTTGATCCAGGACACTTCTCTCTCAGGTCAGAAATATTTAAAAACATTTTCTGGAAATCAGTTTTTTTCTTTTTTTTTTGGGGGGGGGGAATAATAGAATTACAGAATTAAAATCATGTTTATAAAATTGTAGTTTGCGGTACTGAACATATTCCCAATTCAATTATTAGACCACAATTTAAAAAAATACATTAAAAATAAAAACGAACATACATTTTTTATGTTCGGGTAAGCTGCATTTATTCAGGATAGTCTAGGCTGTATTTACATGATCTTCGAATAGTTCAGCATAGTAATGATATGATCTAAACTTTGTGGATGAATGAAGTGAACAAATTATTTTTATCTATATAAAATAACAAAAAAATTATCAGACTAATATATAGAAAAGATGAACCAAGGGGTAAACTTATAATTGGACACAGTAGAATCAAAGCATTAATTTTATTCCTGTGGTTAATATCGAAATCAATTAATCGAATTGAAACACTAAATAAATTTGCTCTTATTTTTAACTTTGATAAAGATACTCATAATTTTTGTTAAGGGTTGGATATGCCGGAGAAGATTGTCCCAAGTCTGAGATCCCTGCCTGGGTTGGAACCAGCCCCGACCTGGAGACCATTGACGAGAACACCATGGATACTGGGGCAGAGATGAAGAATAAGAAAAAGTATCACATCGACACTGTCGCACTGAACTATCCCAAGAAAGACATGGATGTTGAAACTTACATGAAGGACGGTATGATTGAGAACTGGGATATGTTCGAGAAGGTTCTGGATTACTCTTACAAGAAGATTATCCAGTCGGAGTCGGAGTATCATCCCGTACTCTTCTCAGAATCTGCCTGGAATAAGAAGGATCGTAGGGAGAAAATCTGCGAAATCATGTTTGAAAAGTACAATGTTCCCGCGTTTTTCCTTGTAAAAAACGCAGTTCTCGCGGCATTTGCGAACGGTAGATCTACCGGTCTCGTGGTAGATTCCGGCGCAACGCACACATCTGCTATACCTGTACATGACGGTTATGTACTGCAGCACGCCATTGTAAAATCTCCCCTGGGCGCTGACTTCCTTACAAACCAGTGCCAGCAGTTCCTTCAGGAACAAAAGGTTATTATTAATCATAAATCGAGTAATAAAGATTGGATTGGATATAATGAATAGGATAAAATTAGTTGAAGAAGGTTGTGATATGTGCGACTAGTTGGACTACTTAAAGGGACTGTAAGCATAATTTTAAGTGACCATCTATTTATAGAGAGGTATGCCCGATTCACAACAGTACCCTTTAAACCTTTGTTCGGAATACGATGATGTAAATAATCTCATTTGTATTCCAGCTGAAGATTGAGTGCCGGGAGACTTGAGGTTACAGTGTACACTGTAAGCTCCATGCTAGTGTACACTAGCGCGGTTTCTTGACACTTAATTTCCTGCTATATAAATAAGAATATCTACGAAATCCTTGATCAAACAAAGGTTTAAAAGGTATCGTTGTAAATCGGGCATGCCACTCCATAAATGGAAAGTCACTTCAATTTATGCTTACAGTCTCTTTAGCTACAACAATCTTAGTAGTTATTACCTAGTTTATCTTATCGTTGCTCAATGCTTACACTGCTGAAAATGGACCATCAGGTTTCAAGTCATAACACCCTAAACTTTTTATTTGGAATAAATTTATATGCAGTCTCCAGAGTTATAATCTCATTTCTCAGAAAATGCCACCTAGGGAATTTTTGAGCAAATTCATTTTTAAGATATTGTAGAAATAAAGTGCATTTTTAGGTCTAAACTTAAACGTAACTGAAGTTCAAGGATCTAACTTAATCTTTTTTTTTCGCGGTATTTTTAGTACCGTTAAAGACAGGATTCCCATATGTTGTGAATTTTCCTTAACAGTCATAAGACATGTTCTAGCAAAAAATTAAAACCTCAAGTGAACTGTTTAATTGCCTAATTAATACATCAAAGATTCCTTTTGAAGTAAAATCAGTAAAAATTACATTAACAAGACTTTTTTCGGGTGGTATTTTGACAGTCAGGAAGATAACTTAGGGGTTTGATTTTTTGCCACAATATGTTTCATGACTGTTAAAATAAAAATTAAAAATTTTGGAGACCATGCCAAAATTTTTCCAAAAAACCCAGAATAAGCAGATTAAAGCCTTAAAACGAAATTTTCGTTTAATTTTAGACCTGTGAATGCACTTGATTACTACAATTTCTAAAAATTGATTTCCTCAAAATTAAGATTATAACATATTCTGATGAAAAAGTTTAGGTATTTTGAGTTGAAACCTGATGGTCCATTTTCAGCAGTGCGTGCATTAATTTTCTCCGTTTAAGTAAATTAATAAATCGAAAACTAATTTATCTTTAACTATCAATTAGGTTGAGATAATCCCACCGTATCAGATAGCTGGTAAGAAAGAAGTAAATGCCGGAGAAAAACCTAAATGGGACAAGAGAGCAAATCTACCTGAGGTAATTCTTTATTCTTTAAACATGTCATTACTTGCATCAAACTGGTATAGTAGTCTTTTGTCCCTCAAACTCTTTTATGTAGATTTCAAAGTTTAAAATATCAATTATTTACACCATAAGGTTTCAAAGATATAAGGACGAGGAAATTGGAATATGATAATCTGTTCTTTTGTCTTTTTCTTTATGAAATGATTCATCAATTGCTGAATAAAGATTGTTACAACTACTTTACAGAGAAGTTTGAGATGAAAATGCGCAAATTTGTTCACGAAAACTTTGCAGATTGGGTCGTTATTTTACTTATTTGTCCCAAGGGATGTAAAGTAACTTAACGCCCGTCTGATTGGGAAATCATAATTCGAAGAAGGTGGTTAAATAGAAATTTTAAGAAACTTGCACTTTTTAGTTAACAAACAATTCGGCATTGAACATTTAAAGTGTTTTCTGTAAACTGATTTTTTTGCATTTAAGGTGACGAAATCTTGGTTGGATTATCAATGTAGAGAAGTGGTACGAGACTTCCAGCATTCTGTTCTACAGGTAGTTATTTCTCGACTATAGCACCATTAAAAAATAATAACGCTCTTTTTGCGTTTTTTCTGCGTATGTCAGGAGTTGTTAACTATTTCAGGCCTTAGTACTGGGATTAGACAAATTTTTCAATATCTCAGTCAATTCTTAATGTACAAAAACTGCATACCACATTTTGGAAATCTCAAAACAAGTCGCATTTGATTGTACCCAACTTTTGGGAGGCAATGTTGGGTTTACAAGATTTTTAGCGACAGTATCTCATTTCTGTTCACTTCAGGGAACACGATCTTCCAAAGGTTTTCTCTTATTTGGACTCTGAACTTTACTTCAAAGTTTTTTCAAAAGAACAAATTATTTTTAAAGAAAATTGTTTAGAGTGAAACTTTAAGCACACCCTGCAGAGATTGAAAAAATTTCCAAAAAAATCTAAGGGTCCACTGAGATATAACAGCTGTGAAGCACACAAAATTACATGTACGCTGGCCCAGATTAGTGTAGATTTATAGATAGAGGCATATCCATAAGCGGGCCGTTTTCCAGTTTCCACATTTGTGTGTTCTTTTTAGCGACAGAAAATTATTTATTTTTATTTCTAGGCTCATGACCAGAACTACAACGAGGATGCTGTGAGCCTTATCCCTCATTTACCCTACGAGTTCCCTAACGGGTACAATGACGAGTACGGGGCAGAGAGATTCAAAATACCTGAAGCTCTATTCGATCCAAGCGGTAAGATTTGAGGTCGTGTTCATGCAGGAAACCCGGTTTATTTGATTGGAAATGGAAACTTATGAATTTAAGAAACGTAGTTGAGAGTTAAGCTATCAAACATAATATTTACAAGGTTATTGGTTAAACAAATGGGATTTTACATCTAATATTGGTAAACTTTTGTAAGAGATAGCACTTAACTTAATTTTACTGTTTTGTGTTTAATCCGTTTAAACCTTAAGGGTCATTCCATGTCAAGTCAGCCTCCTGATGGACGGCATGTCACAGATTTTGATGAAATTTTGCCTAACATTTGGGATATGAAAAAAATCCAGGAACAAATACACTACACATAAAAAAACTACACATAAAAAAACTATACATAAAAAAACTACACATAAAAAAACTATACATAAAAAAACTATACATAAAAAAACTACACATAAAAAAACTTTTCTAACTACTTCCTTTTGGGAGCATAAAAATATATAAGAAAAATCGACTGAATCGGAATTGTTTCACATCTTCAAACGGAGGCTGAAAATAAAGAAATGCAATTATGACCTGTAAATAACATTGTGATTACCTAATCAAAACTGAAAAAATGTTGGAGCTATCTTCAAAAACAAAAATGTTAGTCATTTGAAATAAGGAGGCCTTTCTCGAAAACTCGAATTATCGGAAACTTTACGGAGCCATATCTCCGGCCTCGGAGGTGTCAGAACGCTCATCTTTGGGTTCTGGGATTTTTTTTTCATATCCGAAGTTGTCTGCAACATTTCAGCAAAATCAGTGACAGTGACCCTTAAACGGATTAATACTTTTTAAGGGCTTAACAATAGAAAACTTTCACATTATTTATTGAAGTTAATTTCAGGCCTACGTGTGCCCGGTGGTGGATCTATGCTAGGAGCTGCTCATGTTGTTACAACTAGTGTTGGTATGTGTGATGTAGACCTTAGACCTAGTCTATACGGTAATGTCGTCGTTACAGGAGGAAACACACTCCTTCAGGTTAGTTTCTTATTTTTACGTCAGGAGTTTACATTTTCTTTGATAATTAATCCCCCCCCTCCTCCCCTTCTGTTTTGAACCTTGCAAAAAAGCGTTCGTTTTTTTAATCGATAATTTCACTAAAAATTACTTTAAATCACAGTTAATAACTTAAAAACGAAAATTTGTAAAGGATTTGAGCCTTTTCAACATGCTAAAATTTCTAATTTCTTTATCTTTGCAACCTGATTGTGTAAACTTATTCAAACTTGGATTATTTGATTCAACAGAATTAAAATATTAAACGTCTACGACAGTGAGACAAGAGTATGAATTTTCCTGAAAAATCATTTTAGGGATATAATGACAGATTGAATATCTTTTGGGATATAATGACAGATTTAATCTCTTTAGGATATAATGACAGATTTAATCTCTTTAGGGATATAAAAACAGATTTAATCTCTTTAGGGATATAATGACAGATTGAATCGTGATTTATCAATGAAAACACCAAGTACAATGCGATTTAAATTAATCGCCGCCAATGGTCCTCAAGAACGCAGGTTAGACTATTCATTTTGGTTAGTTGGTTGGTTGGCTGGTTGGCTGGTTGGCTGGTTGGTTGGTTGGCTGAATGGTTGGTTGGCTGAATGGTTGGCTGGTTGGCCGAATGGTTGGCTGGTTGTGCTGAATGGTTGGCTGGTTGGCTGAATGGTTGGTTGGTTGGCTGAATGGTTGGTTGGTTGGCTGAATGGTTTGTTGGTTGGCTGGTTACTTAGATTGACGGATTGATGACCGATTGAATGAATGATTGTTAATTGTTTGATTGGCTGAATGTTTGACTAGCTTTTTGTTTAATTGGCTGATTGACTATTGATTCTTAGATTGACCGATTGACTGATTGAGTAAATTCTTTGGTTATCTGAATATATGATTGATCGATAATCTAAATATTCAAATGATTCCAGATATGGCTCCTGGATTGGTGGCTCCATCCTTGCCTCCCTCGGCAGCTTCCAGCAGATGTGGATCTCCAAGCAGGAATACGAGGAGGTCGGGAAACAGCAGGTTGACAGGAAATGCCCCTAATCTGAACCTGAAAAAAAACGGAAAAATGGACTCCAAATCTTCCGTGAATTAAAGTGAATCTAGATGAAAAATATTCACTAGGACGAACGGTGGAAGCAAATCTTCATTAAAATATTTGTTTTGACAAAATGAATTCTCAGTACCTTATGTTCAAACTTCTGTTAGGAATAGAATGCGATATCTATTCTTTTGTGCTTGTAATTGTGTAATTTGTAATTTGTGTTCTGTATAATTGTACTGTATTGCAATAATGAACCCTTGAAGCACTGTTCTAAGACTCGTTGGCATTTCTATATTTTTCAATTAAAATAAATCCTTACGACGTCTTGATGCTATTTTTATATCATACCGGAGGGTATATTTTTGTAAAAATCGTTTCCATTTAAAACTCCCCCCCCCCCCTTTTCTAAAATATCTTCTTGTATAAAGTGAATCCCAGATATATGAATACAAAGACCGTCATAAGTTTTTGGATAATTCTAAACAAACTTCGTTTAATTTTTAATTCAAGGTTAATTAATAGCTCTTAAATATGAAAGCAATTGACATATTAATATTAAACTCATTATTTCGCGGCATTTGATCTTATGTAATACGACATTGTAAAAAACTCTTACTGTGAATTCAAATATATCTCGAATTCACGTGTATGTTTGGAATGTTTTTTTAATATTTTTTTTATTAATAATGAAGTTTCAAGGGCTACTATGTAAAAAAGCTTTCTTATTCCCGAAGAAATCAGTTAATTACCAGTTTCCAATTTGTCCCGAAATAGATTGATCTAAGAGAACAAGTATGACATTTTTGACACTAATATAAACTACTGAATAGTGAATAAATACAATTGTTTAAATAATCTCCTAATAAAAAAGTTCCAACGTTCTAATTTCAGAAACAAGGATGTAAATATTTTACCTTTGGTCATGTCCAGAGAATCGAAGGATCGTAAAACATGGATCAAAATATTTACAGTTTCTAATCCTCAGGTGATTATCTTACCGAACACATCAGAAAATTGTAAAGTGTACAGCAGGTTCTAAATAATTGTATATACAGGTCAATTTGCTGTGTACAGCAGGGGTTCATCTCATTGTACATGTACACACTGATCAACTGTACAGTGTACTGTATGTACTTTTCTTGCTGTGCACACTGCTCAATTGTAAATTGTACTTTGCACTTTATGAACTTCACCTTTCGTACTCTAAAGTATACAGGGTATTTACTCCTCTTACTACACATGCTCAAAAGTACAGTAAGTTTGGGAAAGTACTATGTCCTTATAAGGAATGTAGAAAAATTGTCTTTGCTGTTTGATGTTAATGAATTGCCAAGGGTGCTAATAAAAATTTGAACGTCTTGTGAGCTTTAAAAAGTAAGAAAAAAGCAGCGATAGTGGATAATGTCTTTAAAATGTTAGTAGGTTTATGTGGGCAATTCTGAAGTGGAATAAATCATAAATTTGAAATTAAAGCTTGAAAATATTACTCAAAAATCAGTTTAAAAATCAACGACTGAATCTTAGATACATTTTTAGATTAAAAGTTTCGTCTGCAATCAAAACGCTAGATTAAAAAGTAAATTTAACGAAACCAGGCTCAATAAGGTGTTTTACCCACTAAAAATAAGGCTGTAAAGACTTCTGGAAGCTCTTCAAAAATGACGATCCCAGGATTAAATTAATTTTTAAACCTTGAATGTGTTCTTTAAATGGCTAACTTAATTATTTGGCAAAGAAAGAAAACAGTTTAAAGTTGCAGGGAACTATGAATATAAGGAAACAGACAGTACAGTCGTCTCTGAAGTCTCATCTCTTGAGAGGACTGTCCATGTGATTTCAAGTTAAACTCCATTTTAAGAGTTACATGACCGATTCACAACTTACCATAATATCTTTATGTAATTAAGTGCAAGATACGTCGTTTTTTATCTTTGCTCCAGCAAATGTCAAGGTACCTTGTGAATTAGACATGTAACTGTTAAAATTAAGGGTCATTATTATTAATTACGTGTATAATCTCTTTAAGGAGCATCCTGGTGGGTTCACAGTGTACAAGGTGGTCGAGACAACCTTCCCGACTTCATCGCCTGACCTCGCCTGTACAACTACTGCCTGGAAACGATGGTCACAAGTCAAGGTAAATTGATTTATTGATTGCAGACAAACAGAGGCTTGATTTATTGCGGACAAACATATGCTTGAATTAGTTATTGCGTACAAACAGAGACTTGATTTACTGATTGTGGACGAACAGATACGTTATTGCGAGAAGCAGATTTTGATTAACTGATCACGGACGAACAAATACAAATCAATAGCGGACAATAGCAGATACTTTATTTATTGAATGTAGGCGACATGAATTTGATTTATTAATTGCGGACGACAGCAGATACTTGATTTATTGATTGTGTGTGAACATATACTTGATTTATTGATTGTGGGTGAACATATACTTTATTTATCGATTATGGGCGAACATAATCTTGATTTATTGATTGTGTGTGAACATATACTTGATTTATTGATTGTGGGTGAATATGTACTTTATTTATTGATTATGGGCGAACATATTCTTGATTTATTGATTGTGTGTGAACAGATACTTGATTTATTGATTTTGTGCGAACATATACTTGATTTATTAATTGTTAGTGAACAGATACTTGATTTATTCTTTGTGGGCGAATAGATACGCGATTTTTTTATTGTGGGTGAAATGAGACTTGATTTATTGATTGTGACTGAACAATGAACATACACTTGATTTATTGATTGTGGACCAACATATACTTGATTTATTGATTGTGGACCAACATATACTTGATTTATTAATTGTGGGCGAACAGATATGCGATTTTTTATTGTGGGTGAACAGAGGCTTGATTTATTGGTTGAGGACGAACAAATACTTGATTTATTGTATACGAACGAACAGATATCTGATTTATTGATCGTGTGCAAAAAGATACACGATATATTGACTGAGGACGAACAAATGCTTGATTTATTGAACGAACGTTCATATATCTGATCAATTGACTGTCGGCAAACAGCTGCTTGATTACGAACGAACAGCTGCTTCATTAAAAGATCGCTTGAAATTGCGTTTACAGTCCCTTTAAGTATTTTCAAATCAAATCAAATCAAATCATTTATTAGGCCACAAGTTAACAATATTCATATTAATAAAAACGACTATACAATTACATATATATATTTTGTGGCCGGGGAGCTACAAGATAGCTCAGGCTGTTTTCACACGAGCTCACGAGCTTTTTACTTTAGGTGTTATATAGATCTCTACTGGGTATACATCGAGCTCTTTATCTTTCCGGAGACTTTCCTATCCTTCCAAACTCATCATACTTTCACAGGAAGGAGGCACAGATTATAGGTATTAATCTTTTAAAGAATGTATTTATAGTCAAAAATGAAGTCGTCTTCGTTAAAAATACTGGTAAGGATTTTGTTAAATGCAACCATTTTATCAAAGAAAACTGTTTATTTTTCAATGTTTTTTTGCATTAACAATGACAAGTTATAATTTTAATGATTCAAGTTCAGAATTTCTCTTGTTCTCAATTTGAGTATTTCTACAAAAAAGCAATTTTTTCTTAAAAATATAAATATTTTTCATTGAATAAATTACAATTGGTTTAAAAATTCTTAGTTGAGTGGGTGAACTTTTATAGGGAAAACTGCAAACTGGTTTTAAATATAAAACATTATTTATTTTTTGTTTTTTTTCTAGAGGAGCGAAGGATATTTGTGCAAGAGGTTCTTGAATTCTCAGCCTCCCATCCTGCTCTTTACTCTAGCACACCATTTAAGGAAAATAAGAAAATATCAACCTTTTCATAATTTTACTCAAAAAAATGTTCATATTATATTTTATTCATATTTTTATTAACTACAAAGCATAAGATATTACAAATAAGTAATCACAATTTACTTTGCAGTTTGGACCCGCCTAACCAGGTTAGGTTGTTTTGAGTGGTTAGCCATAAGTTAGTTAACGATAATGAATATGGTTACACACATCAAATTATGTTTTTGGATAGGTAAGGAGTTGATGGGAAGGTTGGAGATTGTCAGGTGATCTGTGGCAGGGTGAGATCAGAGGCATCAATTGAGAGATAAATTAAAATACAGTGTGTAAAGGATGGTGGATACAATTACACAAACACAAATAAGCTATTAAAGTTTCAGTTTAAAAATTTTTTTTTTTAGAAAATTAAACAAGATAAACAATTCAGCTTTTCGCATTTAAACCTCTCAAGATAAATATTAATCACTTTTTGTTAAGATATTTTTGCAGATTTAGTTTCTTTAAGGCCAATTTGAATTGCATTCCACAATTTAGGAAACATTGCGGACGGAATGCTTTCTAGATTTTTGTTCTAATTTATAAGATTCATTCTATTCGGTTCAGCTAGAGACTTACACACATATTTTGGAAGAAAGAAGGAAGGTTATCATTAAAGTATCCATACAAAAATGTCAGAACACTAAGTTTGTATGTATCATCAAGATTAAGAACTCAAATAATGGATTTGAATGTGCATTGAAAGTACTATTATTAACTGCTCTGATTGCCTTTTTTGCAAAGATCTGATTTTTTTTTTCAGTTGTTTTTGACCCCTCCCCAAGTTACAATTCCATATGCATTATGAGGACTTACAAGAGAGTTATAATTTGTAGACGAATGTTTAATGGTAAGATATTCTTAATTTGAGACAAAGCCAAGATTGAGCTAGCAATTTTATTCAAGGCATGTTCAATTTGAAAATCCCAGTTTAAACGTCAAGTTTAAGTCCAACAAATTTGAATTTAACGCTGATTTGGTCGTAAACTTTTCTACCAGGGGAGGGGAATTAACTTTAATGAGACCTGTTAAGTTTTATAAATCGAAAATTTAGTTTGAAATAATAATGGCAGCCAAACCTAATTTTTGACTAATTAAATATAGCGACGTTATCTTTGCACATGTATTTCTTAAACGAAATTCAGAGATTTATTACAAAATTATATTTTAACAATATCTATTTCATATATGGGTTAGATCAACTATTTTTAATGAACAAGCAAGCTGTGGGATTTCTAAAGAAAATAAGTTTGTCTACCGGTTAAGGCTCCTACGGACTGCTGATGTACCCATAGCTTTCTCTTAGTTTTTTAAATACTAATTTTATTTTTTCGATTGCTTATCGTTGATTCAAACTCTTGATTTAAAGAAACCTCAGACTAATGGCTTCCGTAAAAAAAATACGAAAATTTGTCAATTTTTTTATACTTAATGAAGAAAAAAGTTAAATGTAAAAAACCCAGGAAATGCTTAGACTATTACTAAAACTTCAAAGAAGTGATTATGTAGCAATAAAAGTACGAGTCCTAGAAAGAAAAAAAATACACCTTGAAAAACCGAAATATAGAGCTTTCCAAGTACACTACAACACTTGATTGTAAAAATTAAACCAAAAAAACCTTATTAACTAATGCTACGTGTTTTTTGACACCCTGTATTTTATCGAAAAATACTCAATTAGATTAAACTTTTAATGGAAACATTCTTATTTCATTAATAAACATTTACTAACGGATGTTTATTTGTTTAGACCCGGTTCAAGTATTTCATTAACAAACATTTACTAATGAATGTTTATTTGTTTAGACCCGGTTCAAGTATTTCATTAACAAACATTAAATAACGGACGTTTATTTGTTTAGACCCGGTTCAAATATTTCATTAACAAACATTAAATAACGGACGTTTATTTGTTTAGACCCGGTTCAAGTATTTATTAACAAACATTTACTAACGGATGTTTATTTGTTTAGACCCGGTTCAAGTATTTCATTAACAAACATTTACTAACGGATGTTTATTTGTTTAGACCCGGTTCAAGTATTTCATTAACAAACATTTACTAACGGATGTTTATTTGTTTAAACCCGGTTCAAGTATTTCATTAACAAACATTTACTAACGGATGTTTATTTGTTTAGACCCGGTTCAAGTATTTCATTATCAAACATTTACTAACGGATGTTTATTTGTTTAAACCCGGTTCAAGTATTTCATTAACAAACATTTACTAACGGATGTTTATTTGTTTAGACCCGGTTCTAACGGATGTTTATTTGTTTAGACCCGGTTCAAGTATTTCATTAACAAACATTTACTAACGGATGTTTATTTGTTTAGACCCGGTTCAAGTATTAACTCAGAATCCAATCTTAATCTGTCTATCTCAGTGTCACAGGATTTAAGGTGAAAAAAAAATTCTTTCAAAACTACTTTTAAGTGAAAAAAAATGTTTTTGGAAATTTTTTATTTTTAGTATTGATGCAACCCCTGCATTAGTTCCTAGCCCTGTCTTTTCGGAGCCATCTGCCTCCGATAGTAAAGTTTATTTAGCCTCCGAAAAATCAAGTCCAAGCTCTGATCTTTCAACTTCTACCTCCGAACAATCAACTCAGCCTGCTTCCAACAACTTTATTCATCCCACCTCCGAAGAATCTACGCCCTCTGCCTCCGTAGCTTCTCTCACGTTTCTCTCTGCCCTCTCCTCCCCTCTCTCCGAATGTTTATCCACGCCTCCGATTAAATCAAGTGAAGAACCTTTTACAGTAGATCTTGCATCGAAACCTCTTAACCACACTGACTTTGATATAAAACAATCCAATCCAACCAATCCGGATCCATTTGATCCCCTCAATGCAGATTTTACTGACCCAGCCCAGCTATTCTTGAACCAGACAAACAATAGGGTCAACCTGGACCTGTCTACATTAAACCTCCAGGTTCGGAAATCAATCTTTTTAAGAATATCTAAAATCTAAATTTTGAATTCTTCTTCGCCGCAGCGCTCGACATCCCCCCCCCTTTGTTGGCTGTTGCGCAACATGTCTAGCTTGCCATGGAATAATGTCATATCATTTAGGATTTCGTAATACGTCATTTATATTTTTAGAAAAAACTTGAAAATATCTGTAAGGATTAAGAATGTTTGTTTAAAAGTTAAATTTAAGGAGACGGGGGAGGCTGAATTGTCGAGACCAACCGAGGCTGCTTGTCCCGGCGAGGAGGCCGGGCTGACCAACTACGAGGACAGTAACGGTGGTATCCCGCTGTACATAACGGAGTCTGCTCAGATTATCGCGGAGGCTCTCTCCCTAGAAGCGGAGGAGAAGTTTGATCAAAGCATTGCTTCCTACAGATCAGCTATAGGTAGGAAACACATAAGATTTTTAGATACTTCTTCCCCCAATTGATATTACTTCTTTAAAGTATATTAAACGTTGAGTTTATGTGTGGACTGTTGTTTTATTAAGTTTTTAAGATTATGTATTGGTTGAATGATTGATATTTTTAATAAAATCTTGATTTCAGAATTCAGATGCATTTATTATTTGATTTATATATTAGTCATGTTTTTGTGTGTTAAACCTCGTTTGTGGTCTTGATCTCCAACACTTTAGTGGCTTTTAGATCACACACCATTACCTATGCTATTTTTTGTGTCTGTTAAACTCACAGACTACACAGACTGCTCATACACTCTACCTGGATAGGTTGAGCAGGCCTACAGTGTCCCGGCACGCCATGCTACGGTTCCATGTAATGTTTTTTGACTGATATCTAACGGCCACTTGCTGCATTCAAGAGTTAAGTTTTACAACTTTTAAAGAAATACTCCAATTTTAAACATAAAACATAACGTTTATGAATATTGTCCTTTTTAAAGGTTTTGCATTTCCTATTCTAAGGATCCATAAATATCCCTGATTACAGATGTCTCCTGATTGGTCGTGTGCAGTACTTGTACACATGAGAACATGCTGTGGAAAATATCGCATATTATAGGTGTTAATCGATCTCTGTGACTCTCTTATCTCTGGTTAAACTGTTGACTTGATTGATTTATTAATTATTTGATTGGTTATTTGGTTATGATTGATTTACTAATTAAATTGATGAAAAGATCTTTTCATTGATAAATGGATTAATTGAGTTTCAAATTGATATTATGATTACAAATATTGATTAAATGTTTGATAAATTTATTTTTCAAGTGATGTATCGATTGATTGATATATTGATTGATTGGAATTATTTAGGAAAGCTGCTAAGCAGTGTACAAGCTGACCCTGATGCTACCAGGAGGGCAGCTGTGAAGAAACGAGTGGCGCAGTACATATCTAAAGCAGAACAGCTAGGCAAGGAGGTGTTTCGTTTTCTTTTGTTTTTATATTCATTTTTGCACAGTTTTTTTTAATATGTATTAATTTTGTTGATTTATCCTACCAGAGCTCAATATTTAAAAGCTTTGACCCTGGTTTTAAAACCGCTTAACCTAGTTCTCAAGTTTTATCTTAAACCCGACCCGACGACAGCTTGTGTCACGTGATCGACAGCTGCCAGCCCTTTGAATTGATTTAAGGATTTAGGTCCGTGGAAAGTTAAATCGACATTGGGTTGTTTTCGTGGAAAATTAGTTATGCCATATTCTAATTAAAATCAAAATCCGCCAACTTTAAAAGTTTTTTTTTTAAATTTGGCGTATTGCTAAGAAATAGTTTAATATTTAAAAAATCCATCAAATAAAAATACAAAACATACTCTGTAGAAAATTTGCCCCAACTTATCCTAAAGCTCGAGTCTTAAATTAGTCACCATGACAGCTTAGTCTTGAGTCTTTTATTCCAGATTTTTTTTTAATCGCGGGCTCAGTAGTAATTACTGTTATATTTTCCTTCATTTTATTTATTCACTTTTTTAATAGTATTTAATTAATTTAATTAGTGGCTGATATAAAACCTTGCTAATAGTTATCATTTAAATTATTTAAGTCACTTTAATGGTTCAAAAATATTTTCTAAACTTTCCCTCCTCCTCCTCCTCCAAATTCACCTCCACTCCCACCTCCACCCCCTCCTCCTCCTCCTCCACTCCTCCTACTCCTCCTCCACTGCTCCTACTCCTCCTCCACTCCTCCTACTCCCCCTACTCCTCCTCCTCCCTTTTTTATAAATGATTTTCCCTACTATGTGAAAGGTTCTTTAAACGTAATTTCAAGTGACCCTCCATCTGTAGATTAACATGTTCGATTTAGAACAGTACACCTAAAATCTTTTTCTCATGAAACAGAAATCCATGGATCGTCTTCAAAAATGAGTTGCGCATTTCTACTGCAGGAGAGAACAATTAATTTTTAGGATTTAACATTTTTCAAGCTAGAAAAACAGTTTCAAGGGTACCGTCGTGAATCGGGTAAGCCCTTCTTTGAAGTCCTTTTTGAAGTTTTTAAAAAATTTCTTCCCACTTACTCACTTACTTAGGTTCCACATTCTCTCTCTCAAATACTGGGTGGAAGAACTACACATGTAAAATATTAGAACAGTCCCTTTAAACCCTGTTTTTTTAGTTGAAAGAGAGCTAGATGCTAAGGCTAGAAGACCAGGGAAGAAGATTAGTGGAATCCCTCACCTACAACTGTTCGGTCAACTTTCACAACTCAGGGGTGCAATCAGACAGCTTCCAGATTTCATATGTCAGAATTCGTTTTAAAAAGTTATCCTTTTTTCTTCTAGTGCATTTTGGATAAAAAAAATTCTCAAACGAATTGATGATTCACATCAAACTCAAATTTTCTAATCCTGGTATTATCGTGAAAACCTGATCGGAATAAACCAAAACTTTAATAATTTGTTCTGAAAGAAGTAATAGTTCTACGACATCGGGTTGCAAAGAAATTAGAATATTAGGAGTGTTATCAGTTCCCTTTCAATGATTAAACTTTATTCATTACAAATCTATCACTTCCTTACTTTGAAACTATTTTTTTATTTTCATTTATTTTTTCACTATCAAGAACTATTTTGAGTTACATCTAATCCACCGCGATTTAATTATCCTGATGACCAAAACAAAGATTTGATTGTTTGATTGTTGTGTGATCAGGAAGTACAAGGTTGTAGATATACTTGATGGAAGGCTAATTCTAGCTCAGAATATAGACACATTAGAGAAGGTCGTCTTCAAGGTTCTCCAGAAATCTGCAGGTAGGTCTACCCTGTATATTCTAGATCATGTTTACAGGACACCCTGAATATTCTAGATCATGTTTACAGGACACCCTGTATATTCTAGATCATGTTTACAGGATACCCTGTGTATTCCAGATCTTACAGGACACACTGTATATTCTAGATCATGTTTACAGGACACCCTGTATATTCTAAATCATGTTTACAGGATTCCCGGTATATTCTAAATAATCTTTAAAGGACACCCTGGTTATTCCAGATCATGTTTACAGGACACCCTGTATATTTTAGATGAAGCAGTCTATTTGATGTTGGAGTACTGTCCTGCAGGTCGTCTTTGGGATGTTGTTCAACCTCTAGTTCAGCAACAGCTTCAACACTACCTTCAAGTTCCAGGTCTAGATTTACCTAGGGGTTGATAGTTTTTATGATATAGAATTTAGTTCTCAAAACTGAAGCTGTCACGGAGACCAAAGTCTTAAATATGGAAACCTACTCCATGTAACACAAGGTGGACATTAATCAGTCAACTCTGATAATATGGAAACCTACTCCATGTAACACAAGGTGGACACTAATTAGTCAACTCTGATAATATGGAAACCTACTCCATGTAACACAAGGTGGACACTAATCAGTCAACTCTGATAATATGATATTCTCATGAGGAAAAAAAATGTAATAATGGAACGAAGGCTGCAGGCCTGAGTTAAAGAATACATCAAGATTATTTCATCGAGTTTAAGAATTCCATTATTACATTTTTATCCTCATAAGATTATTATCATATCATATTTGTGAGGTTCCATGGGCACATACCCAAGAAATTATCCTATCTTGTAAGAATTCCCATTATTACACGGTTCAGGAGAAAATTTTTCCAATATTGTTGGCTTCCTAGCGTTTAAGAATTTTCATTCTTAAACGCTCAGACCGTGTAAGAATGGAAATTATTACACGGTCAGAGCGTGAAAGAATGTACTGTATATTCTTACACGCTTCAAGTATTAAAGAATGGAAATTATTACACTAGTTAAAGAATATTCATTCTTACACGCTCCTTCTTTTCCACAAATATCAATATTGATATTAACTTAATTATTTTGTAAAAACAACATGCACACTCACCTTTTTCTTTTATATTAATACAGGCAAACTTACCTTTTTATACTTTATACCAACATGCTCACTTACCTTTTTTATATTAAAACATGAAAACTTACCTATCCTTCTTTGTTTGTTTGTTTGTTTGAATGTCCGATCATAACTTGCAGGGTAAAGTTTCAGTTGTATCCACAATAACCCTAAGGCAGAAGCCCAGGGGAGTTGCGCACAGTCGGCGTATAATTTCAAGACAGAGCCAGTTCTACGCCGACTGCGCGAAACTCCTCTGGGCTTCTGCACGATCTAAAAACTTTGCAGAAACGTGATTTTAGGGCGTTTTTTCATTTCTTTTTATAATAAAAATATTGCAAGACGAACCAAAGCTATTCACAACAATAGTTACATTGTTCAGATTAGATTTATGTGAAAATATTAAAATATTTTAGTAGATGAAAGCTTGGCATCAAATCCTCGAAGATGTTCTGTACTAAAACCGTCCGAGTCCTTCATCATCCAGCGGACAAAGAGCGCCCTGGAGGACAAGAGCGTTCTAGAGGACAAGAACGTCCTCGAGGACAAGAGTTTTTTAGAGGACAAAAGCTTGGTGGAGATCAAGTGCACGTCAGAGGATGACTCAGACCAAGGAGATATGAGTTTTGTCCACACAGAGAATTCTAGTCTTTTAGGAACAGTCATAATATTTTAATGATCTTTTTTATGAAATTGAAATTGCAACACGCGCCAGTTCCTTTAGAGGAAGATTTAGTGCTGTTAAAGGGAGTGTCTGGCTTGACATGGTAGTTGAGCTGAGAATGCAATTTGGTAGAGAAATTTTTTAGGATAAATTTGAGATCTATCATATGTGCATATTTGTTCATCATGAGCGCAAATTCAATCTTTAAAATCCTCATTTTGAATGGATGATTTTGAGAATCGTTTTTTTAATTATTCAATAACGACGTCCAAAAATGTAACAAAAATTCGACAGTAAACTAATTTAATGTCTAGAAACATATTTCTTGATAGAGATTTGTTAATAAATCAATTTCCAGAATCAATTATTTCTTTTTTATCATTATATTGAATCTCTTATTCTTTACGAATTTGTTCGCAGATTTCTTTAAATTTTTCAAATGTCGTCTTTTCAAGAAAAAATCCTGGAAATCTACAGAAAATGTTTGTGAACAATGAGACATTACAGAAACCAATAGATGAATTAGATTTCTTATTTTTGATTATAAGAGTAAATTTTTATTGTCTCAGCCGGGTCCTAAACAACTAATTAGTTTGATTTAGAATTTTTTTATTTTTTTTTTCGTGGTCGTCATCGACAAAATCATCCCTTGAAAATGTTCAATCTATGAGGATTTTAAAAATTGAATTCGCGCTCTTGCTGATAAATATGCACAGTAAAAACTTCTGACAGGTCTCAAATGTATCCTAAAAGATGTCTACAATACTACATTTTCAGCTCAACTACCATTTCTAGCCATTATTATAGCCCTTAATTATAGTTGTTCAAATATTAAGAAAGTTCAAATCGAAATTTTTACCAGCATTTTCCTGTGTGGATCTGAATTAAAGTGAAATTGTCAGCCTAAAATTATTATTATTATTATCATTATTATTATTTTTATATTTTTAGTATTTTTTTCTAAGGTGACTAAGAAATTGTTAGTTTTATTATTATTATTTCTGATGTTTAGTTGTATCAGACAATCAAATTGATCATTATCAATATGAAGCTGAGAATAACACAGTAAGTATTTTCACAAATGGAAAAAAAAAATATTTTTTGTCTTACGCTTAACTTCTTCCTTTGTCTTCAAATTTTTTTGAAAAAAAAAAACACTTCTTTTTAACAAAATGAGGCTAAAATTATCTGAAAAAATATTATAGAAATTTTCACACCAACTTGCCGGTTGGATGAATTGCAGTCTGATCCGGATGATAAGTTTGTGGAGAGGTCTGGGATGAATGATGAGGCAGGTCCTGGGAGGAATGACGTAAGAAGGGATGAAGCTCTTGATATATCCAGAGAAATGTTGAAAATTTTATCAGACCAAACTCAGGGAAACAACAGGTGAAATCATTTTTATTAGTTTTTTGTGATTTTTATTGAAATTTTGTTAATTTTTTCTTCCTGAAACAATCGTTAAAAATTATTTAATTCATTTGGTACTTTTCACTTTTTTACTATTCACAATATTTCCGGAAAAAGATTTATTCTGTCCTTAAGTTAGTCCCTAAAACTTATGATATTTTTATGAACTTTAACGCAAAAACAGTTTTTTTTTATCATATTTGATATTGTCCTACTTGAATTTGGTTCTAGAAGTCTCATAGAAATCAAAATGGTCCATACACTTGCATATTAATGTAAATAATTTTTAGATGTCAAATCAATAATTGAGCAAATTTTAGTGTCCAAATATTGGTTTATTTGTAAATTTTTGTTATTTAAATTTTCGACCAATTTCAGTGGAGTAGATTTGATGAATAAGATGGCGGGAATTGAAGAGAAAATTAAAAATCATATCAAAGGAAACATTGAACCTTTAGATACATTACCACAGGATACAACGGATTGTGATACAGCAATATGTGATAAAATAAGTTCTTCAAGTGAATTTTTTAGCAAAGTGACAACGGATTGTTCTAACGTGGATGTCGAAGGCAGTTGTAAAAAAGTTGTCTTTGTCGGAAATCTTAGTGGAGAAACATTTGTCGACGAATCTGATAGTGATGATCATAGTTCAAAAATTGAGAAAGCTCTTGAAAATCCACAAAAACCGGTTCGTCCTCCATATTTGCGGAAACTGTCCGAGGTTTTGCCCCAGTTTCCGGATCCAGATCTTCCAGACTCTACGGTACTTCCGGATAGCGTATTGAGGCTGTGGGCAGCTGAACTAGCGCAGGTACAGATAATTTTTTTAGGAATTTAGGGCGCTTTGTTTCTGCATCTCTTTAACTAAAACGTCTTTATTTAAGTCTGCGACAGTTTTATCAATGTACAAATCATAATACTAATCATAATTGGTTTAATTGGTTTAATTTGTGTGATTATGTTAATATATCACGGGTGTGATAATTTAAAACATCTCTTTTCCGACTTCAATGGCCATTCAGGATTCTAGCCAGTTATCGAGCTTGTTTTTGAAAATGTTCAAGTTTCCAGCACTTTTGATTTCATATGGAATATCATTCCATATATTGATAACTCTTGCAATTCAGCTAATAGTTCATGGAAATCCAGTGGGGTGATAATCATCATCCTTCAATACAGACAAATACGCTTAAAATTACGGTTGTTATTTATGATTGGTAGGCTGGCATAATGTCGGTTGTCCGATATAATAGCAAAACAAAGGCCCCGTTTTTTGGTTTTTATAAGTTAAAAATTACAAATTGTTGACCCAAGTTGAGATTTGATTTAGTATAGTCATTTTTAGTCTAAATATGGACATATAGGACTTCCCTGAATGTTTCATTTGATTTGTTAAAAATATTAAATTAAAGTAGATAATTTCGCTAAATTTAATATGATTTAATTCATCACAAATTAAAACTACTTAAAGCTGCACTTCTTGTTTTTTTTGTTGGACATCACCTCCCTTAGGGTCCGGTTTTATTTGGATTATAAGATTTTCAGATAAAAAATTAAGATTTGTAATATTCAGGTGCTGACTTCTCTACACTTCAGAGAGATAATAATCAAGGTAGAAATAAAAAAAATTTGTTTATCTTTTGAATTGGATCCTCGATCTGTAATTTAAGAATATTGATCCAGATAGGTCCTAATCCGGCTTGTCCTGTATACAATGGAAATCAGCTCATTAATGTTTCTTTAGTTAAAAAGATATTTGATTTGATTCTTTTTTCTTATTTCCGGAGATCAGCATATTTTAGCGGCTCCATATCTATGAAGCTAAGAAACTAAAAGATTGCTGACCCAACTCCGGATCCTTTGAATTGCCATTAATTTTTAAGACATCTTAATGTTACCATTTAACAAATTGTGCTTCATATTGTAGGATTTAAACCCTGAGAATGTACTGTTAGACTGTTCTGGACATATTAAGCTAAGTTATCAATGTGAATGGATAAGTGTTGAGAGAGAACTATCAAAACATGCAGTTCGGGGCAATTATACAGCTCCAGAGGTAATTTGCACTTTTTTATCATATTTGATTACAAGTGCCACTAGACCCATGCATATAGGGTCCGGTGCCCCTGGTAACAAATATATCTGCAAAACTCCAAGGTTCAATTGATAAACTTCAAGGTTTAAATAAAAAACTTGATTTAAACTCCATGGTTCAGGGGATAAACTACCAAGGTTTGACAGAAAATTGCATTGTTTTAGTGATAAAATCCAAAGTTCAGGTGATAAACTGCATGATTCAGAGGATGAACTCTAATCGAATCCATAGTTAAGGTTGTATCCATTTCATCTTTGGGATTCTTGAAGGAGTTTATCACCTGAATCATGGAGTCAATCATGTAAACCTAGAAGTTTATCAACTGAACCTAGAAGTTTATCATCTGAACTTAGAAGTTTATTATCTAAACCTAGAAGTTTATTATCTAAACCTAGGTCCTAGATGTTAATTGTTTATCATCTAAACCTGGGAATTTATTATCTAAACCACGGATCTCTGAAGTCAACTCCTCGAGATTTTAACCAGTTCTGGCAAACTCTGAAGGTTGGGCTGGATAAATCATACTGGACATCTGGTGAAACTAAAGATTATGGTCTGATCATATAACATCCGGAAGAAAGATCCCATCCTTAAGGGGGTTATGGACTGGACTGGTCAGTCTCAGTCATGGACCCAAATGGTAGGCCTCTCTATTCTGGTGGGGATGTCCAAATCCCAGGTGGAGCTATGGAGCATATCCAAGATACAGACCATGATCAAAACACTGGTCCCTAGTGGTCCTGTCTGAACCAGACAGATGGTTTTCCCTGCAACCTCATGTCAATGACTCCTCTCAGTCCAGGACCCTTATTTGCTTCAGAGCAGCAGACGTAAGATAGGATTATTAGGGAACAGGCACCTCAATGTTTTGGGGGGGTGCTTACAAGGAGTGCCCCTTGTGTCTCGCAGGGGGAGCTGTTTTTAGACTGAACGAGGTTCATGTTGCCCTTGTGAGTCCAGCAAGTGGTTACACTCAACGGGCGAAGGATATCGAGGTGTACCAAGCAAAACCATTGGCGTAGAGCTCATTATGAGAGGTTATCTGGGGGGGGGGGCGGATCTAACTACAATGATGGCTAGACCTAATGCTCTCCAGTGTGTCCTGGAGGACTGGCTACGGCAAGTTTCATTGGTGTAGAAAGGTAGGTTGGGCTGTCATGTCTAGGTGGGGGGGGGGGGGGGCTCCCATTCTAGGATGTGGTAAGGTATACTTCTGCACTTCAGTCCAGCCTGCCCCCTGGTGATACCTCATCTGACGATGGCCGGTCTCCCCACCCCATCAGATTAGTGTAGATTAGTGTCATGTTTTATTTTCTCTTAAACCTGAAAAATAAAAAAATTGTTGATTGTTAAGGTATTAACTGTGTCTGAAATAACCCCTGCTGCTGATTGGTGGAGCTACGGAGCTATTCTTCTACTCCTTTATACAGGTAAAAAGGATTTGTAGCTCAGCTTCATTTCAAAACCTTACTTGCATTGCTTAGGATCCGGAATCAAGGGACAACTTTTATTTCTCAAACCCTAAATCTTAATTGTTACAAGAAGAATGGTAAAATTAGATCTTTGAATGGTTCATCAAGTTTTAGCATAAAAAATTGGAAAAAAGAAGAAAAATAATTAGTAGGTTCTCTTTTTGTTACAAAAATCAGTAAATCTTGAAGAAATGTTCATGGCGGGTGGATCCAGGTTCCTAATCAAAATTGGAAGGGATCCTAAGCACTGCTTACTTGCATTTATTACAGGTTCTGGGCCTGTGTCTCTGATACCTAGTGGCCTGGATTCCACAATTCCTATAGAATATCCAGAATGCATGCCATTAGATGCCAAGCTCTTTATATCCTCTCTTCTACAGGTATCCATTCCATACTATGTTATATTCAAGGTGTATCCTGGGAATAGGTTGGGAGCTAGATATTTGGCAGGCTCCATACTTTGTAATATTCTAGGTGTATCCTGGGAATAGGTTGGGAGCTGGCTCCACTGGATCCCTAGATGTTCAGCAGCATCCATATTTTGTAAACTTTGACTGGACAAGGATGAAGCATAAGAAAAGATGAAGCATATTTCTACTCTAATCTTGAAGGACGGATTTCCATGAATTCATAATTCACTAAAATATCTTATCTTGAAGGCTTAAACCTGGATATTAAAACAAAATAAAAATTTTCCCTGTGGCATTAACAATCAATAATACGCTTAAATAATAAATAAGTCAATTTTCTAGTAATAGTTTCTAATCGTATGAATAAGGCATTCACTGTTTTTGCTCCTCCTCAATATATTTTACTTATAGAAAAAAAAACAGGCAAGTTAAGAAATTCTCAGGAGTTATGGGATAACTTCAAGATAATCATTTATCATGTTTTAAGATAGATTTTTTAGCCTTATTTAAATTCTTTTTATTGCAGAATGCTAGTCCCTACATGTGATATTTGTATGATCATATCCCTGCTGGCTACGTACTGTACTGTACTGTGCTGCTAATGATGTACCAATCCTGTTATTTTCGTTTTTTGTCGTCTTCACATTTGAATTGAATTTTTGTGTACTCTAAGGGAATCGCCCCTAACAAAAAAAATAATTAATGAAATTTAACCATGGGTTAGAGAGATTGAAAACTGGAAAAAGTGGAAGTTTAAATTTTGAGATCGTTAAATGCAAGAGCGTATACAGGGGGGGTTAGGGGGCAGTGCCCCCTAGACCTGTAAGGGGGGGGGGCGTAGCTTCCCTAGAACTCGGAGCTTTCACACTTTTCAAATCTTAAACTCAAGAGTTAAGAACATAAAACAGAAGAGCAGCAAAATAATTTATTTTGCTGTTCATTAAGTGCACTATGAAGATTGTATACGGAGCCACCATGACAGAAGTCCAAATGAAAAATTTATCTAGAATGCACATTCATCCTAATCGGATGGGCGCTATCAGAGATAGGGAAGTAAAACAATTATTTTTAAATGCCAAGCCTCAAAGTCTTGAGTTTGGACTTTTAGAGTGAGTAAAAGTCCATTTTTTAAAATTTGTATTTAATTTACTTTATTCTTGCACCACCGTTTTGTAATCTTTCTTTTTATTACAAACTAGCTAGAGTGCCAGGCGTTGCCCGTTGAATTTAAAAATCGAATTAAAACAAAAAAACTTTTAATTTATTTAGCTTATGTCATCCCCAAGGGTATCATGAGTTTCCTCGCTAAAATTTATCCCATATGATTCAGCCGTTTGGCCAGCCATAGAAACATATAAATGAACGTATACATATACAGAAACTTTTATAAGTCATAATTATTTTCTGGACCTTTGCCCTTCTTTCATTTCATAGAATCAAGTTTAAGTTGTGTTTTTCATTTTAAAAAATGTCTTTTACTATCTTTAGTTTAAATACTAATTATTACAGTATAATAAAATGTCGATTTTTTAGAAGCAATGCTTCATTTTCTGCTAGTTTTGTTTGAAGGAGAGATGAAGTATAATACGTGCAAGGCAAATAGAATATGAAGTACAATAGGTGGCAATAGAGAACTAGACCAATTATACACAACGTCACAAGTGTCAAATATAACAAGGAAAGCGAAATTTTCTCAAATTAGTTGACATGTTTTCCAAGATTAAATAAATTAAGTGTAAAAACAGAAAATAAAGAACACATAAAATTACATTTTTTTATTGTAAGATAATAACTTTTATTCTAAAATTATCACTAATATTGACAATTTTGTCGGGCACAAAAACTATGTTGACACTTGTGACGTAAGAATACAGATGTAAGAGTGTGCAAATTTTACGTTGCCATATATTGTACTAGAATCTATTTGCATGCAAGGTAATTTCTAACGCTCTTAGAGCAAAACGCCTTAAGTAAAAAATGTTTTTTCAGACCCTCTAGACTCCATTTTTACAATAAAAAGAAATGGCTCTTCCTGTCTCACGACGGTCTAAACCCAGCTCACGTTCCCTATTGGCGGGTGAACAATCTGACACTATCAGAATTCTGCTTCTCAATGATAGGAAGAGCCGACATCTAAGGATCAAAAAGCTACGTCGCTATGAACGCTTGGCAGCCACAAGCCAGTTATCCCTGTGGTAACCATTATTGTAGAATATCTTCTTGGGGAGTTCTTTCGGTTTGATCTTGAAGGAAAAAGGAGTTCCTTCTTTAAGGGTGACCACCATCTTATATCTCGTTAAGAAGTGAATCAATTAATAGGAGTGCCAGGTAGGTTGATATCCAGGAAGATTTTAGATNAGAAATAGCACCCGAGGGCGCAGTTTCGCTCAACCGAGTAAGCAGAGAAGCGATTTCCGTAGGAGTATTTCACTGTTGCCGAAGCTCCTCCCTATTCTACGCCAGAAATGCTTCGCCACAATATGAGACTAGAGTCAAGCTCAACAGGGTCTTCTTTCCCCGCTGATTCTCCCAAGTCCGTTCCCTTGGCTGCGGTTTCGCTAGATAGTAGATAGGGACAGTGGGAATCTCGTTAATCCATTCATGCGCGTCAGTAGTTATCTGACGAGGCATTTGGCTATTTTTACATTTTACTCCACATTGCCGGGCCTGGGCAGTACCCTAGAGCGTTTAGAAACTGTCAAACCGCCTTGTACATTGCACTACTTTCGCCTCTTTGGTTTTTACACCGTTGAGTACTGACAGTTTATCCCGTAGGAGAGCGCAGAAGGTAGCTCGTTTCGCGGGCCAACTGCCACCCCAACCCTCCGAGTTAACGGAGCTATGCATTTAAGGGTTAGGTCGCCAATCAAACCCGGTTGTGTTTGCGTGAGTAGTTCCCCCCCCGCGTTGTTCGCTTGCTTGGGGGCGCCAAATGTCGTTTGCAGTTATAGGTGTTTGGCGCTGCAGTCGCCGTCAATCCTCGTAAGGATAGGGGGTCACGGGTTGTTGTCCGTTTGCTGGGGTTCGCCCTCCCAGTCTCTTCCCTCCTCCTACTACTTCCTGTATCCCAAACTTACTCTATCGTATGTCTGTATGATCGTCCATGTCGTCGTTAGCGTCCGGATGCTGATGAAATGCTTGAGAGAGGCACCCAACCCCAGTCTGCTTAGTAGCTTCTGAGTGCTGGTGGACCAGCCACCTCTGAAGTTGATGGCAAATCCATGCACCTCTACCTCCTTCACGTTTGCACCACTTACCCGGAGAGCCTCCTCCTTCACGTACTTCCTTACAGCTTCCTTGTCATATGCAGTCACTTTCTGTCTGTATCTTTCCTCAGGATCGCAATTGTCCCCACAGATGATGGGGTCGATTACAAAACCCTTATCCTTCCTCCAAGCGACAATGTCAGGTTTGACAAAAGTCCCTTCGATCGCGATCTTAGGCTCTAGTTGCACAGTATATCCTGTTCTCTGTAATCCCGCTCTAACCATCTTAACAATTCCGTCATGTCTCCTAACTCTCAGGCCATGAGTCACTTGACATATCTGACTTATGTGTGTCGCATTGGCAGTCTGCTTGTCTAGTCTGCAGGTCGGGTCTCCTCTGTCACCTCTCGCGGCCCTCGCAGGAGTCTTCATAGCATTGCACCGTACCCTCAAAGCCTTTATGAATTCTCCCCCCTTCGCCGGAAACAGAGGATCTAGTATCCACCCATCTCCAAACCCGTCATGATATTGCAAACCTCGTCCGTCTGTCTTACTAATTAACTCTTCTCTCCAGGCTCTCCGTTCAGATTGCTTATTGGTTATTTGGACCTCTCCCAGTCTCTTAATCCCACTCGCTAACCTTACAGCAGCCTCCCCGGTCCCTGATGAAACCATTATTTT